ATAGATGTTTAAATCTCAGTTCCAGCAGTTTCTGTGCTGGATCGATCAACACATTTGCTATTTGGTGTTTATTTCTGGGAGCTTGCAATCTAAATTCTGTCCATCAGATGACTGATCTTTGTGTGGATGTCAATATGTTCACAGTGGGGAACAATAAGTGGGCTCTGATTCTCTCCCTTTGTGAGAGCATTACACACAGGAGTTTGTCCCCATTGAGCTATTTCAACACACTGATCAGTGATCAGTCAATGTGCCAGGCTGGGCAGCACTGTGTCTCTTCCTATTTGTGAAATGGGAAATTATTGGTGCTACTATTCTAGTTCCAGCTCTTTCTGGGACGAGTCAATAGACCTCTTTGTTTTTTTATTTTTATTTTTGGGAATTGCTGTCTGAATTTATTCCCATCAGTCAAATAGAATTGATGTTTTATTTTATTTAACAGAAAAGTTAAATGGAGGTTTTGATTGAACGAGTTAGATCCAAAGCCTGTTTCTCTGATTGAAACTTTCCACTGGTAGAAGTGGTTTATTTCAGATCCAATAGCAAACTCATTCTTCCCATATTCAAATGTCCTGCTGTGAAGTGAAAAGGCAGTGCTTTTGTGTCCAAACACAAAAACAGAAATATTCATAAAAGCGTCCCACGGGAGAGTTCACTCTTCTTTTGATACTGTGCGTCAGTCTCGTGTAGTGAAATAAGACCTCATGATTATTTTTGTGATGGTGAATCTCTGATGTTGTGATACTGTCTCAGCTGCACATCTGTCACTCCCTCTCTGCCTGTTTATCGTAGTTCATCTCTATGGATTAGGATTAGGGCTTTGAATGTGTCTTTGCTTTGTCATCAATAGGACATCCAACATGTCCCCAGCATGACCTGCTGTTTGGGCCTTGTGAACATGGCTTATAGTTGCATGCTGGAGGAAGGAAAAGTGATTCATGATGATTGATGAATGTCCAGAATGGGACTGGAAAGTTAGGAGCCAGTTGTTTGGCTGAGTCCTTATATATCCCTTGAGTTCTATTTTTAGTCGGTGTGTTTAGTGTGGTAAAGCAAAGACACTGTATTGTGTATTAAAAGGCGATTCCAGCCATAATCATGCTTTTTTCAGATGATTTGCAGTAATCTGACATGTATAAAACCATGGATTGTGCGAATACAGTCAAATTAAATTCTTGAAAAACATAGAATTACCAAGTTCGGAGACAAGTCCAAACAAAATCAGCTTCTCTCTGATCCACAGCAGCTCACAACCACAGCTGTTGGGCTCAACAGTCTTATGTAATGTCATTAGATTGTATTTATTACAGCTCTATTGCACAGTTGAAACCATTTTAAGCTGCAGCTAGTTGGGTATGGGACAGGGAGGACATACTGTAGAACTGAAAGGATTGCTTCTGTGTAATACTTTGTATTTTGTAAAATGATCACTTATCAGTTACTGCAGAGTGGAAACAAGAAAACAAGATTGTCTCTTTATGACTTCTGATATGTAGCCTCTTGTATCAACATTGTGTTATGAGGCATTATTTCCACTCCAATAGAGGACTGACTAAATAATGAGGCCTGATACATTAGTCGAGCCAATAATATTAGCCAAATCCAGTTTATGACAGATATATCTGTATCAACGTATGTGCTGGTCAATAAGTACCAAAACATTATGGTACAGTGCCATTATTTAAAAATACTTTTTTGATTGAAGTTCAATCTGTTTACAAGGCTGCAGCTACAATCCAGGACACTAAAGTGATGTTCTCTGTAATATTTCTTGGGATATAGGGGATTTAATTATATGAACAGGAGTTTACATTATACAAGCATATTACACATGTTGGGTTTTTGTAAGGCTGAATTGTTTAAGAAAAAATCTTCTTCAAATTTGACTGCTTTAAAGACTCAGTATGGGCCATAACTTGAGTATCACTGGTATATGATAGATTAAAAAAATATATTATTAAAAATATCTTATTTTTTATACCTCAGCTTTCATGTATTTTTTGTAGCATTTGTGTTATTTATAGTTTTTGCCGGCACAAATTCCCAGATCAGTACCATATAAGTAACTATACATGGGTTTTGCAGGAAGTTTGAAAGAGTAGACTGTACTTTAGTTTATTTGTTCAGCTCTTGTTAAAAAGGTTTCACAATCAGGACAAACAAAGGACATGAAGACAGGCGACACAGAAACATGCATGGTGGAGAAAAATCGAGAAGAAGAATTAGTACCTAAGAATAGACTTGCATTTTGAGTTGAAATGATTTACTGGACAAAGTAAAAAATGTTTTGTATCTGAAATGTGGAGGCTAAAGTATGGAGTGTAAATATGATAGCCGTGATCAATAGCTGAACGTGTGTGTCAGGAGTGGGAGAGGGAGCTGTTTGTGAAAAGATGACCTTGTGCAGAAAGCCTGTTTCCGCTCTGAAGCAGATGAATTGCTAAATTTTCCGGACAGACCTGCCGGGACACTTCCTCAGTAGCGGTCCTTGTGATCGCTACGATCGGTGCTCACTGAGAATCTATTGTCATGTCCACTTTCTCACACTTAGTGCAGCCCAATGAGCCCACTGCTTTTACAAATATCCCTATTAAAGACACAAATGGTTCCATATTATAGACCTAAGAACACATTTGTACATCCTTCTTTTAATTTATCCTGGTCTTGTAGTGTTTTTTTTTTTGGTTTGTTTTTTTTTTTCAAGCTGTGACCATTTCTTTTTCCTGGAAGCAGATATTTTGTGGGTCCAAGCCTGCTGCCCGAGAGAGGATGTGTTATTCATCCAGTGCCAGGGCTGATGTATAATCTCACTGGAACACAGAGTGGCCTTTCACATGGACTTCCCCTGTGCTCTGAAGCTGTTTGGCTTGCACTAGTCCCTTCCCCAAGCAGTCAGTACATCTCTCTGCCTCTCTGCTGAGCCCAGTGTGTTTGTTTGAGTCCTTTGTCACAGCCTCCTCTATAGATGTCATCCTTTCAGCCTGCCTGTCTTTCCAGGCCTCTCCAGGGTGACTCGGCTTTATCCTCCCCCGGTTTCCGGAATCCTCTCTTTCCTGTTTTCAAGCCGAGGTGAACCCGTTTTGTAGCCTCTTGTTAACATACCTTACTGCGCATTGCTAGACATGTCTGGCTTATTTTTTATTGCGGCTGTCGGAGATTCGGTTGCTGCATCTGCCACATCCTTGACGATGATAATGAGGATAATGATGATAAGTGCGGGTGAGTCAGGGGTGGATGACAGTAATTACAAGATACAAAGCCTGTTGATCTTCATCTTCAGGGTGTCCTAAAAAGTCTGAAATCACAGGGATGACAAGCACAACATGTATTTCCGACTGGTTACACTTGTTTCTGACACATCCTCTCTATCAGCATGGTATAAAACGTGGATTTCTAGTCCCAGAATGAACGTCTTCTCTGCTTCTTATTTTCTGGAAGAACTGTTTGCTTCCTGAGCTTTGAGACCTCTTTGATTAGAAGACATACAAAGCGAATATTATACCACGTTAGAGCAATGCTTTTCACATTCTCTCTGAACCTGAAGGAGACACACTGTACAATAGAGCTGGCATGAGCGGAGCCCGTGTGTTGCCCCTGCAGTTTCCCAGGCTTATCCACTTGCCTGGCACGAGCCCTCGCTGGCTGGCACAGGCTGTGTGGTAGATTTGTTTAGGTCACAGGTTTATTTATGAAGGTTAAAAAGAGGATTTGATATAAAGACAAATGGCAGGAAAAGACAGCACGCTGCTAAGTGTTTTTTTTTCAGTTTGAGAATTATTTTATTTTTGGGCTTTATATACAGGGAGCCTACAAAATAAAAACAGAAATAATCTACAATTAAATGAAATTCAGTCATAACCGGACTAATACACTGGAAGCCCCTGGGGCAGAAATGAACTGTGGGCCCCCAGTTACCCCTCATTCCTTCCACTCTAATATGTTAAAACAACCTTTTAGAAGAAAAACAATCTCGGTTTTAGCACAGTTTCAGAACTAATCCCTTTTCATACTAACGCGCCTGAAAATGCATATCACACCCAGGTACACTGGACATGCATGTGTCTACAGTATGTAAACAGGAAGCAGATTGTCTACTATGCCGTTGGTTGCTTAGTGACAGATAATACTTTAGAGATGGCGAAAAATAAGACCAGAGATTTCTTTGTTTGAACCAACAAAGACATGGAACTGATACTGATAGTAACATGAATCTAAAGCAGTCAAGGTGAAAGAAAAAGATTGGGAGTCATTGCAAAAACAAATATGGCGTCATATGGCCTAGACCATTATCCATCTGCAGAGGAAGCCATGACAATGGGAAAATCACAAAAAGGTATGTAGACTTAGCTATAATGTTTTGGCTTTACACGCTGTGAATGAGGAGACCCAATTGAGAAGCAAATTGGGTGGGTGTCTGTGTCATTGTTTCCAAAAATCTTCGTTTTCACCCATCCTGACTAAAATGCAACCCTGGAGTTTTCAAACTAAAATGGGGTCAGCATCGTTTTCACAGGTCTCTGTTTTAGAGGATCCAAAATGCCAAAGTAGTGTGCATGCTAGGTGTCAACGTAGCAAAGAATGTGTTTTAAAACAGAAACGTATTAGTGTGGATGTATTCTCAGTGGCTTGTACATGTACACAGTCGCCTTCAAGAGCCCTCTGGTGCACTGGACACCAACTAGTACTTCAATTCGAGAATATTATGTGTAATTAGGCAGTGATAATTTGATAAAACACACATTTATTTAAGTATATGGCATGTAAATACAATATTATCTGAAATGATGAAGGTATCAGCTATGAATTTCAGTGTATTTCAGTCAGTTCCTAAATAGCTTTGTTAGACCCATCCACTTTCATCTCCATTGACCAGATATGAGAGTACCAACAGAAAAATATGTTTCAGCTTGCTGTATTTCCCATAATGCTTCTCTGTGTTTACTGCACAGCTTAACAGTTTAATGAAACACCATGTGACTATTGTCCTTTGTCTCTCACAGAGGCTCCCTACAATGAGACCCATCCATCATATGTCTATGACCTGGCGCACTCGGAGGATCACCAGCCTCGACACGACCCTCTATCTTTCAGTGGATCCCCGTCCTACTCACCGCGACTCCGCTCCAAGAGCCGGAGCAGCCGAGACACCCAGTCCTCTGGCTCTCTGGAGTCCACACTGTCGGTAATGTTATTGGGTCAACTCCCAGCAACTTGTCTGACACGTTACAGTGTCTCCTGGCTTGTAGTGCTGCTGCTGCTGCTCTCTGCTTCATCTTTCTCTGGCTGATCTACTGTTGTTCCCTGGCTACTGCATTGTCCTTCATTGTCCTCTCTCCACACACCATCCAACACTTTTATCTTTGGCTTCACATCCTGTGATAAAAAGGTGCCATTACAGTTGCTGGCATTGCTTCCTCTACTGTCTGAATGTTGGTGGTAAAGTACCAAATCAACACCAACATTCTTCCTCAAAACAATTGCAGATCATTTGTTTACTTATACAACATATGATTCGAAAGCTATGCCCCTCGTGGTGCCATTAATGCTAACCATTTCAAGATATAGCCACCACAGCTGGTCTGTCAGACAAAAAAACAAACAAATAAACAGTTCTAACTTACCTATAAAGTGTTAATATCATCGATAATATGGCTAATAAAAAGATCCACATTATCCAGACAGAATCACAGTTTACACTGCTCCCATTTCATTTCTCACACTGGCAATAGTCCACATGATCTAAATCCAGCAAAATATTTAGACCAGACACGTTGTTACATCCATAGATATCCATGGATTGCTTTTGCATTGTTTCAAATGGTCATATTTCTCCACATATTATCTACAATATCTCCCGTTCTGCCAGTACACAAACTGGATGGCAGCTGTCTTGATGAAGGCGCACTCCTGGCCTTTGGATTGAGACCCCACTTGAGCCAATAGGAGCCATTTAATGTTTCTACGTTTCCAACAATGCATATTGATAGCATCTGTTGTTAGACCCTCCCTGCTTGATAAATGACCTCGACATTCAAACACCACGGACGCAGTTTGTAATACAGACCAATAAATTTGTAGCCTCCAACCCCAGTCTGAGATAACCAAGATGACATCATCAGGGCTATTTTCTCAGAATTTGACCAGTTCCTCCAGAGCTATAAAAGACATTATACAACTTTTTCTCATAGGCTGATTAGTGCTCTGTATGCAGGGTAAACTGAACTTCATGTGTAAAATCAGTTAAGTGCCCATTAGAAAACTACAGTGCCCTTCAGCCAGGCATTCAATCCACTGAAACATCCAGAAGCTAACAATGAAATATATAGTTGATCATAAATACCCCAGATCAAAGTGCTATTCAGTTTGAAGCAGGACATTGCTGACAAACACCACACATGGTCAGCAAACATAGGCTACTATGGGCGAACAGATGTTTAAAAAGAAACCCAGCTCTCCTCCCCCTCTGCTCTGTTTCTGTTCTGTCTGTGGTATTCTTATCCTCTGATGTCTACACGTGATTTTCAAAGCCTAAATCATTGTGTGGGGGGCTCCATCAGCATACAGCTTTTTCAAAAACATTTTTGCTAATATAATGGCAGAGCTTGATACACCCCCTCTCAATACTCCAGTGTCCACACCAGGATGACTTATGGCTTTGACCTGTTTGGAATAACAACTCCTGGACCAGAAACACATTCATCTTCCTTAAGATGCTAGGAGTCCTTGGTGCAGGCCTCTTGGAATGTAAAACTCCTACAGACTTTAATCAGATCTGGTCTGCTCCTAATCCCACAACAACAATATCAGCAGCCAGGGTTTTGCAGAGGTGCAGGGGTGGTTTATTGAAGATCAGACCCATCTACAGTTTATGTATCATGTTTTCATCATGAGCCTTTTGTGTTGGTGAATGTCTTCTCTTCATGTTTGATGGTTGTTTTCTCTCTCATCATATTTGTATCAGGTGGAGTTGGATCAGGAGAAGGGGCTGGAGATGAGAAAATGGGTTCTTTCAGGAATCCTGGCCAGTGAGGAGACTTATCTCAGCCACCTGGAGGCCCTACTGATAGTATGTATAACTTTTAACACACATGCACACAAAATAATTTATTGAGTTTGTTGCAACCCTTGGACAAAAGACTGACATTAGTTCACTACAACAAAAATGTTGACACAGCTACAATCTTTAATTATATTGTACTTTTAATGCTTGTGTTTTGTATGTATTCCTTTCTAAAGCATGACTGTAACTATTTGAAAGAATAAATAACACATTCTCTCTCCTACAAATGAAACGTTGAATTCATAAGCAATACATTACACGTTTGCACAATCTTTCTTTGTCTTGTATACAGTCTTTTATGGTTTCTAACATGTGCTTATTTAATTAGCAAACTTTCAATATTCACATGTAATTGGCGTTACCAAGTCAGTTTGTAAACTATCCAACTGTTGCAAGAAAAAATAACATGTTTCCTCTTACAAATTAAAAGTTGAATTTATAAATTTTAAAACACACCTTTGCTCAATTTAGTACACACATGGGTTTGTGGCTACAGTGTTGGTCTGGTGAGATGTAGCTTATGTTAGCTAATGTTAGCTAAATTAGCAAACCTTTGATAGATATTGCAGTGTAACTGATATTACTGAGTTTGTTTGTGAAACTAACTTAAGAAAGAAGAAGTAAGACATTCCTCCTCTTACAATAAGTTGAATTCATAAGTGATAAAAAATGGCTTTGCTCCTTTCAATACACGAAGGTGTTTTGCGGCTAAAGCGTCAGTCATTATGGTAAGATGTAGCTTATGTTAGCTAACGTTAGCTAAAGTAAGCAAAGTTGGCAAGATTTGCAGTGTGACTGACATTACTGAGTTAGTTTGTAAAACTATTCAATTAATTTTTGGAAGAAGAACTAATAACATTCTTCCTCTTATAAATGAAAAGATTAATTCATAAATGATAACAAAACACACCCTTACTCAACTTAATGTCTTGTGTTTGCTAACATTAATGTTAGCAAATGTTGCCAAGACTCTCTGTTGGTGCTACATTGTGTTTCACTACATTTTAGGATTTAATATTATCCTGTAATTGGCACTTGTGCTTACAGTGGCTGCTGCTCAGTGAGAGTTAAGGCTGACTTTTAGGCCTGCTTTTCACATGCACACACAAATATTGCTCTTTTTTAAAAACAAAGTAATATGCTAATGGGTTGATGCAACTGAGCTTGTTAGCAGATCTCCAATACTCTAAATATGTGTTTTTTGACCCTTGTTGTGTTTGTGGAAAAATCCAAAGACAGTACAAAGAAGACAATATCATTGTGCGATTATGTGATTTTTTTCCCAGCCCATGAAGCCTCTGAGGGCCGCAGCCACAACTTCCCAACCGATGCTGACCATCCAGCAGATTGAGACCATCTTCTTCAAAGTCCCAGAGCTTCATGAGATCCACAAAGACTTCTATGATGCTCTGCTGCCCCGAGTCCAGGACTGGGGCCATCAGCAGTGTGTGGGCGACCTCTTTCAAAAATTGGTATGGTGATGATATATTTGTTAGCTTCAGTCTTAAAGTCAGTCCTCAGCTCAGATTTCTTTTATGGTTGAATTATTACAAGATATAATTTGAGAGGAAAACAAGTTACGACAATGTTTCAGAAACCTGTTTTTCCACATATTTTGACCTGACTTGAACACAGCAAAAAGAAAATGTATGCCATTGGAGGAAACAAGGAAATGGAGCAGTGGAATACAAAGTATCCAATGAGCTGATATGAGTGAAATGTTGTGATGATTGTTTGATTTGAAACACTTTGAAGAGTTGTTTAACTGGAGTATGAATGCGTAGTAACCATCGCTCAAAGTAAAGTATGGCAATCCCCTCTGCTGATTTAAACCCTCCTTTGGATAGACCAAGGATCAAATAACATGAAACCTCACAGCATCAAATTGTATGTTGGCTTTTGATCAAACAGACCACCATCCATCTAGCCAGTAACTTTCAGAAACTAATTATAGCAGTCCTTAAATGTCGTGCCTTGATCATTAATGATAGTTAAAAGAGGGGAGCCTTTCAGGGGGAAAAGGTGGGAGTCTTTGGCTTTTAGTAATGCTCAGAGGATCTTGCAGTGCACATGTGAGTAGACTGCCTGGAGTCATCCCCCGGCCAGATAAAAGCCTCACTTCACCACATTACAGGCAGTAAAGGAGAACAAAACCCTCTATAGGAGGTCGCTGAATAAGAGCTACCTCAGTGTTTGCTGCTGGATGAAAAAGATGAAAAGCGCTCATAGATACATGGATTTATATATAGACACGTGAGCAAACATTGAATCACATTCAGTTGCATGTATTCCTCCTGTGGTACTGTTATGCCAACTCAGTATACAGTGACTCTGCAAAGAACCCAGCAGCAATCACAGACTAGTGAAATCTATTCTCTTTGTTAAAGCATCAATCTAATCTGTGCTTCACTTTTGCCCTCTAGGCAAGCCAGCTTGGAGTGTACCGGGCCTTTGTGGATAACTATAAGGTTGCTGTGGAGACGGCGGACAAATGCTGCCAGGCAAATGCCCAGTTTGCAGAGATATCTGAGGTATGTAATCACGCTACGCACAGCGGGACTGCGGCAGGCAAGTATTTGATGTTGCACAGCTGCCAGAGACAAGTGATGACAGGGCAGTTTTCAGCAGTCCTCACAGCGTAAAAGCAACACAGCCCTTTGTAGCAGAGATGATTGTTTTAATTGCGCTGTGGGGCAGTGATTTAATGAGGGTATTTCTTCTCACCATTCCCTCTGGTGTCATCTCCCTGGCAGAATCTCAAGGTCAAAAGCACAAAGGACTGCAAAGACCACTCGGCTAAAAATTCACTGGAAAGTGAGTACTGAGTGAAATGAATGGCCAGCCTCCACATTAATCAATATTGCTATAAGTAGTCAAGCTGTGACTGGGCCTGTTGAGCTGACTTCTCCTCCTCCACAGCTCTTCTCTACAAACCTGTGGACAGAGTGACGCGCAGCACACTCGTTCTCCATGTAAGTCGATCTGTCTAACTCAAATCTGGAGCAACATCTTGTCTGCATCAAGAGATTGGGGGATTGATGTCGTCTTTTTTTTTTCTATTCTAGGACCTCCTGAAGCACACACCCTCAAGCCACCCAGACCATCCACTGTTACAGGATGCCCTGCGCATCTCTCAGAACTTCCTGTCCAGTATAAATGAAGAGATCACCCCGCGTAGACAATCCATGACAGTTAAGAAGGGAGAGGTCAGTGTGGAAAGCTGAGTCACTTCATCATTTCAGGGTTGTACTTATGACTCTGTTACTTTGGTAGATAAATTAACAATGGTCAACTTCCCCTCCATACTGCCAGCAGCATTATTAGTTGACGACTTCTTATAAGTGAGACAGAAACTTAATGAAACTGGATTTGCTATCCAGCAAAATAAATTACATCATTTCCTTTAAGTGGAATGTAGCCCAGGTTTGTGTACATAATATTCACCAAGGGCTTGAGTAGAGGAGAAGGACAGATTAAGTACAGCTTGTTCCCTTTGTGTAGCACTAGTCCCTTTTGCCAAGTATAAAGTCAGTGGTTTGAATGGTGTGGTGGCACAGCGATGAGGCTTGGCACCATAATATTGACTCCCTGGGCATCACAGTATTGTATTTGTCCAGAACAGCGTAGCCCAGGAATGACTCCTAAACCCGAGAATGAGTTCGAATTTTACCACTGCCTGCTCCCTTGTCTCGGTGTCAGTGGGTTATTTAATGGGTTTTTGGTGAGATGCTTGAAATAAGGTTTTTGTTTAACAAAAACTTAAGAGGTTGTCACATTTTGTACTATGACAGTAAATACCTACATTGTGAATTTTGACACTTTTACGTGTCTTACAAAAGGTAGTTGCTAACAGGTGGCTAAATGAGAAAACAGAGCATCATCACGCCGAATGTAGTTTTACGACCTTGTTGTGGTGGCAATGCTGAAGTCATGCAACCATGGTGTAGTCGTTTATAGCCTAATGTTAGCTGTATGTATGTGCGCTTCAAGTCTCATGATTTTTTGTTTGCCACAGAGCTTATTTTCTGCATTTATCCAAAATCCAATGGAAAAATCCCATGGCTGTTTGTCGAGGGAACAGGGAGGTGTTAACTTCCAGGTTGGCCTACAAAAAACATCATGAGATGAATGTCTGTGAAATATGTGGCAATCCATCAAGTAGATGCTGAGATATTTCAGTCTTGACCAAAGTGTTGGGCCGACTAACAAACTGTTATTACCATCCATTAAGCCATGCAGCTAGTGTGGCTAAGACTTATTATGGGTATTGGGCTATATGTTATGGGACAGTATGTTACTTAAGTTCTTGATTGACAGAACACTTGATTATATGGACTTGAGGTTTACATTTGTCCCAAAAATAATCATGCTGTACAGTATTTTATAAGACTTTGACTCATTTGATTTTCTCACTGAAGCAGCAGCATTATGAAATTCAGGCTCATATCCGCCCCCGGTGTTCTGTCATATCTTGTCTGCTAACAGTAAAAAGCTCTGAGCACAAGGTGTCTGGAAGCTGCAATAAAACCAAAGTGTGAGTCAGATTGTTGCTGACTCATATCAGCCTGTCTGCTTTAGTTGTGAGGGAAGTGGAGCGTAGAGGAAGCTTGTGACAAAGCTACGCCAACACTGGAGGTAAGAGGTCTCCGTGTCATAAACCAGGAAAACCTGTTGATTACCTCCGCGTTCACTCCCATCCTTCCCTGCTGCGTTGTCAACTCTGCTTCCCAGAAATGACCTCCACCACTCCTTATCAACTTCACTGTCTAACCAGCCTTCTCTGCTGGGTGTGTACCGGCTTACCCGTGCTTCCTGACCCCTCTGTCCCCCACACACCACGCATCTCAGGCCTCCGATTCAGACGACCTGACTGAGAACTTCCTCTGTTTTTTCTGGGAACTGGCCCATCCCACCAGGGCGGGTTATTAAATCAAAGAAAGTTCTTGGGAACATTCTTCTGTGTATAGACTAGGAAGTCTGAAATCCCACAAGGAGATTGACAGATAACAAGCCAGTACATGACAATCAGTGTGAAATACGGGTTGTTGTTGTACGTATATTGTTGATGTTTTTGCACCGTGGCCGCCTGTAATTACCATGACCATTTAAACCCATGAGTTTGTTTAGCTGCACATCTTATGCCTGCCTCGCTTCTCAACGTCTCATTATGGCGCATAATAAAAACAGAAGCAGATTCCAGCGCCAGGAGGGTGTGAGCACTGTGCAGTTACAACTCTTGTTTTTCCATTGGATTATTGACTGTTTGTGGTTGTGTTTGTGTCACAAAACAATAAGCGGATGTCACCCTGCCACCTCTTTTTGAAACCAGGACAGTACTGAGCATGTTTGAGGGCCTGTAGGCAGACAGCATTGAACTGGAGTAGAAATAGGAAAACTGCTGTAGTGATTTCCTTGTTTTTGTCAAACTGTGGTTGATGTGGGATGGCAAAATCTCACATGGGCAGTGTCACTGTGAACAGCCTCAGCCCAGAGGTCAAAAGGCAGACAGAGAATTTAGATGCATGCTGCTGCAGGAAGAACTCATGTCATCCGCCTTTAGCCTCAGGCTGGATGGATCATCAAGGATTATGGGTCACAAATGTCCATTATGTAAAAAAAGGAGCAAAGTATTGCTAAATGGTTGATAACAAAACTGAACAAGAATAAGAGTCTACACTCATGCTTGCAGCTCTGTAAAGTTTATTGAGCTAAATGCTAATGTAGGGATGCTCACATGCATCATAACTTCAGTCGTTTCCCTGCTGGTAATTGAGGAAACACACTGCATACACGCACTGCCTTGTTTTGGTCACATCGCAAGTGATTTATTGTTTTGGTTATTTTGTTTACTTTCACTATGAGGTTTGGTAGCATTCATCAGACAGCAGTTGCAAAACCGCAGGCTGTACAGTAATTACAAGCATGTACAAACATCAGCACAAAATCATTGTTTGTGAACCCCAAATTAAAAAAATAAAACTCAGCATCAATGTAAAACTTAAATCAGATGATGTGCTTTCAGCAGTTCTTAGAATTGCAGGTATTTGCTTTTGGTGCAGTAAAATAGTGGCTGAAAGCACTTAGATTCTCACTCACAGTTTCATCAGTTAAAACTCTCGAAAAACATTATTGGGGGTGTATTTGAAATAAACAACAGTTATATACTTTGAGCGTAATGACGTGATTTCTCATTTCCTGTTGGCAGAACCGTCAGCTGCTGAGGGACCGCTTTATGGTGGAGCTGGTCGAAGGTTCCAGGAAACTCCGTCACGTCTTCCTCTTCACTGATCTGCTGCTCTGCACCAAGCTAAAGAAACAGGCTGCGGGGTGAGTCCGGGTCGGTGTCCAGCCCAAGGTTAGAGATGCAGGCTTGTCACCTGGAAGAACAGCTAGTTCAGTTCCCTGTCGGGGAGTGAGAGTCACTCCGCCCAGACAGACATTAAACTTGTTAAATCCTGCTGTGCTGAAAAGAGAACAGTTTCATTGTGACCAGCCAGTGGTTGCAGTGGGAGATAAAGGTTATAATTTCTCCATCAGTTTCCTAAATTTTTTGCAAGCTTGTGGCTAGTCGTACTGTTTGTTTCACACTGCTAAAAAAAATCTGCTGAGAGATCAGGACAACATGACAACTACTGAGTGAAGAAAAATGGTGTCATCATACACTCAACTTGTCCTCCAACAGAAAAGGGCAACAGTATGACTGTAAGTGGTACATCCCACTGGCTGACCTGACCTTCCAAACCATTGAGGACTGTGAGTCCACCCCCATCCCTCTGGTCCAGGATGAGGAGATTGACGCCATGAAAATCAAAATCTCCCAGATCAAGAATGAGATCCAAAGAGAGAAGGTGAGGGTGCATACATGGTAAACACACCTACAGAAAGTTGGACCTCACCAAAATAAAATACTAGAAAACAAAACGGAATATATCTAATGGTTTAATAGTTTGATAGTGATTTCAATGAACTGCACTGCAGAAACACCACAACAATAACACATTTGTACTAAAGACTGAAGGAAAAGCTAAATAAAATGAGGAACTTAAAGATTAGCACATTTGAAAATAACTACTGTCTAGACAGCTTGCACTGCATCACGTTAACCCTGGCATTGTTAATCTGTAGAGAACCACCAAAGGACCCAAAGTGATCGAGCGACTGAGGAAGAAGTTATCAGAACAAGAGTCTCTGCTGCTTCTAATGTCACCCAATATGGCGTTCAGAGTGGCCAACAGAAATGGCAAGGTGAGTCAGGGCTTCTTAGGAAGTTCCAAAACAAGGGCGATATAAACATTAATGCAAAATATCATTGGGAATATTTTTGCACTGTAAATAAACAACTTCTTAATTTGGTTTCTGCTGCCCTCTGCTGTTCACAAGCAGGACATTACAGCATGAGAGTGCAATAAAAACTAGTATATTGTCCCTTCATTTCTTCCAGGGTTTTACGTTTCTCATTTCCTCTGACTATGAACGTGCTGAATGGAGAGAGATCGTTCGTGAGCAGCAAAAGAAGTGTGAGTTTTCCTTGCACTTTCCATAACTGAGTCAGTATAAACCATAACAGTTGTAATTTCATTTTTATGTGACATACATTTACCTTGACTGTGTCCTGCAGGCTTTAAAAGCTTCTCTCTGACCTCACTGGAGCTGCAGATGCTCACTAACTCATGTGTGAAACTCCAGACTGTTCACACGATTCCAATGACCATGAATAAGGAAGGTACGGTTCAAAAAGTATTGGACTTTTTAGGATTTAAAGTGCATGTTAGTATACCTACAGTTTTATCTTAATCTGCGTAATCTGAATGCTGCCCTCCACAGATGATGAATCTCCTGGTTTGTACGGCTTCCTAAATGTCATCGTCCACTCTGCATCAGGGCTGAAACAGAGCTTAAGTAAGTGGCTTATTCTCTTGTTTTTGATTAGGAATCATCTTACTGATAATTCTAGAGGTTGCACGCGGTGTGACATCATCCTCTGCGTTGCCCCTGACTCATCTGCTGTACCCCCCCCCCCAATCTCTCTCTGTGCGGCTGTCAGCTGGGAGGGCAGCTGCAATAGAACAAGTGGGATTAGCAGGGAACACTTTGTACAAGCTGCCTCAAATGTCTTTGGTTTCTCAAATCACTGCCTGCTCAAACTCAACTGTGTGCTCTCTGTCACAAAGGGTAGTCAGGCAGTAGTCAGTTGCATGTTTCAACCAGTGTGGAGTCCACCCCTGTTTGCTGTTTCTTCATGTACTGAGACAGTAACAGTAGAACTGTAGAGCGACACCAGAGAGCGATTTCTTGCAGGCCTCATACAGTATATCGTACAGACATGTCTCAGCCTGATGTGAATCTGTAGTTTCATTTTGATGTAACCATTAAAACTACCTCTGCTTGTGCCTAATAGACCTTTACTGCTCCCTGGAGGTGGATTCCTTTGGCTACTTTGTCAACAAAGCCAAAACACGTGTGTACAGAGACTCTACAGAGCCCAACTGGAACGAGGTGAGAAAGCAAGTCAGAGAGGAGAAAGTGAATGAGTGAACTCCACCATCAGTATCCACTGCTGTGTGTCTTTAAGACAGGCAGTAAAGAACTATGTTTATCCTAGATATAACTGTATTAAATTAAAGCATCAGTTTTGAAAAAGGCCATGAATGCAGTTAAAGCACATTGTTGTGCACCTGGCTGAAACCACAAGTTACATGCCTCTCCTTTGTTTTTCCATGCAAGGAGTTTGAGATTGAACTGGAGGGCTCTCAGACTGTGAGGCTACTGTGCTATGAGAAGTGCTGCAACAAAACAAAGCAAAGCAAAGAGGACGGAGAGATCACAGACAAGATCATGGCCAAAGGACAAATAAAGGTACGAACAAATTAGGGCAGACCTGGGTCAAATGCCTCAGCAAATAATTGCTTGTGTTTAAGGGAAGTACTTTGGAGGACCAGATGGGTACGGGTCATCACACTTGGATGATTTTAACTATGTGAGTTTTCCAACTCGGAGACAAACTCCCACACATTGTCTAACTTGCAAAAATATAAAATTTATTGCGATGTTTCAGTAACAAGACCTTTATCAGGCAGAAACCAGTTCTGCTCATCCCTCTCCTACGCACCTGTTATGAAACAGATGTACAAAGTATTCTTTTGTTCTGATTATGTTAGTTTTGACAATCTTTAAAGTACAATGACTTTTAAGCACTTTCTGCCAACTTTTGACACATTCAGACACAATATACAAAATATTTATGGCATATACATCATACTGTGTCCAATGTGGCACCATATCTGAAAAGTAGCTAAAAATCCATATTTACAGAGTCATTATGACCGCCAATCTATAGAGTTCCACTGACATTAATAGGAAAAATAATCCTTGTCTATGTGGACTGAACTTTCTCCTTATATTGATTTCAGTACCTCCACAGTGGTAACTTATTTGCACTGCTGACCACAGGACTTTTATTTTGGCTTATCCTGCCCTGTGGGGCCCTTAGCTGTTGAAAAAGAAGCTAGCCATCAGATTGCTAGTGTGTCACTACTGCTTGACCCCTGATAGGGTGTTGTGACAGAGGGCGGATTAGTCTTTGGGTTGACCAAATGTAGCTGTTGGCACTGCTCCAGAATATGACGGAGGGAGAGAGACAGAGCGCTCTTTGATCAGCCAGTGAAGGGATTTCCCTGCTGGACAGGTGGGTCAAAACACTGTTGAGTCTTAGTCAGATACTTGGCCATGTTATTCAGGAGTGAACAGCCTGGAGATAGGACATCCCGCAGGGTCAGGTATTTAAGTCACTTTCATGACCTGTGGTGTCATGTTGGCCTTTCGTCTTGCTTTCTTTCTGTCTACATAAATGGTATGGAGAATGTTTTACCTTTCAAACTGACTGAGTGGGCATATGATGTAAGAAATCACAATTTGACACAATTGACACACAAATTGGTATTTCATTTAAGTTATTTAGTTTCAGTTATTTAGGACTTTTGAGGGTGTATAACACTTTGCACACACTGCAAAACATGAATCAATCAATCAATCTATCTATCTATCTATCTATCTGTCTATCTGTCTATCTCTCTGTCTATCTCTCTGTCTGTCTAATTTGTATTATATTAGTATTATAAAAATCAATAAAAGGCAAAAAAGACAACCATGAAAAACACATTTAAAAAGCAATTAAAGAACAATCATAAATCTATTAAAAAAGAATTATAAATATAATAAATAGTATAAAAAATAAAAAATATATAAGATGGTTGTATATATAAAAGATATATAGAAGTAGAAATATAAATGTTATTTTTTTGAAAATAATTCTTTGCCTTTCCGTTTTGGAAAGTTTGGATCAAAGTTACATATTTTAGTTACAATGAGATGTGAGAGTTGGACCTTAAGAGCTGCTCAGTTATTGAAAGACGAGCCTCTGGGGAAAGGTAGCAGTTCATATAAAGGTTAAATTATGGATGTGAATATTTAATATTGTTTCATATATGGGGGATGATGAGCGTGGTGTGAAAGGTCACTAGCACTAATCAATTATTGGTCCGAGAGGATCCTATTTAGGCTACCTGAGGTGCCAGATTACCAGGCAGCAGCCCTCACAGCAGCAAGCGTGAGCACGTTGGTAATGAGGGTAGGAGGGGATTCTCAGGAGTTAATCCCCCAAATCCATCTGGGAAGTAGAACAACACACAGGCAAGCGTGGTTAGAAGGCTGCGTGGATTTGTTCCTTTTCTGACTGGAATGAAAGAATTTGGAGTACAACAATGCCGAGACGTGAAGATGACAGAAAGTTTTGTAAAGATTCACCTGGATTGTATCAAAGAAGATCATCAAGATTCTACAAGGCCATGTGATCAGTGGCTGGTTGTTCAGGAAAGAAGAACCTGCTGCTCTTGTTAGTGCCGTGGTTTAGAAAATACTGCTGGTTCCTTTGTTTATTTGCCATCAGTCACCAGTGAAACTAAGTTTTAGTATTGTGAAAGGCTCATGCCAGAAAGAATGAGTGAGATTCATCCTAATGAGGAGGAGAATGCGGATCAGGCCAGCAGTGGTCTTGAGGAAGAGGGAGATACAGCTACGAGGAAAGCCCCGGGTACTGGGGCCCGTTTGTGGGACAGAGTCCGTAGCAGTCTCCTCAGACCAAAGGTAAAGATATGGAAAGAGAGCGGTTGATGGACCTATGTTGATGTTGTTGATAAGGATGCCTCAAGGACCTACTGTATGGACTTGTTTTTGCTTTCTGTCATTTTATGCAGTATTTAAAACGCTTTTTAACTTACACACTTTGTTGTATTTATTTTGGGGATATATCCCTTCTAAGTTTTATAAGTCAGCGTTGTACCGCCTGTGTTTCTTTTTTATCTTTTTGATTAAAAGTATTATGTAAGAAAATTGATTTTCACTGAACAAAGGATTATCTGAATGAGATTTGATGGTTTCTTTGCGTGAACGAACATCTGCCATCTTGGCCAGGCACAGTGCTTAGCTGCTGGACATGATGTTATCACATTACTCATGCCTGATCACTGTAAATACAGCCTGGCAGTTTGGTATTAGTTGGATGACTAAAATAGATCCTTGACACTACCTGGCCATATGGAGTTTATGTTTATGTGAGACTGAGTGAAGTCATTGAGCAGGTAGTACTTAGAACTTACTTAGAATACCTGTCACAATATTTCCTGGTTTGAATTCTGAGGAGAATCTGAATCGAAATTTATTTAAAATGAGGTGACACTGACCTTTAGTGGCGCTAAGCTATGAAGACCAATGCAGACCAAAAAAAAAAAAAAAATGAGGTGACACTTGAATAAAAATATTCTCTTTTTTCCAGCTGGATCCTCAGACATTGCAAAACAAAGACTGGCAGAGGACAGTCATTGCTATGAATGGGGTAAGTGTTTTCAGCAACCCAGTCAAAAGAAGCAATGCTGAAGTTAGCTTGCGGTTCACAGCTTCCACTTTGGAGGTAAAGGAAAATTAAAGGCAAGATAAATGCTGATATTAAGCTGAGTCTTCATTTGTGCACCACATGCAGTTGTTAACAAGTATAAGATATTCACATAAGAGCTTTTAGGCTACTCAAACCCCACTTTCAAATATTTATAATCTTTATTTTACTTGCAATTTCACTGCTTTTTCTGAATCCAGACCATCTAAGACAAGGTTTTGATCGAAAATCATTATAGACTCATCAAACCTGGACTGGATTAACACGTAGACTCCAGAGGCTACAAAAACAGGACAGTTTTACTGCGTTATCTGCATTGAACCCAGCCCACATAAATAAATAGAATAAAAGTTTCACAAATCTGAAACTGTGCTTTAAACAGTCTCTAAAGTGTATGGGTTTATAGTCGAGTACAGCTGAGCAGTTTTGACAAGTAAAATAAAAGTTTTGCATGTCTGAAAGGGGGCTTTCAGCAGCCTCAAGGCTTTTAATATCATAAAAAATACTTTTTAACAACTGCAAGTGGTGCACAAATGTACACTTGATAGCTTGATATTATAATTTATCTTCCCCGCAACCTCCACATTTGGAGGCTGTAAACCAGAAGCCACCTTTAGTGTTGCTGATAAAAGTGATTTATGTAACAGATAACTTCCATCCAACAGTAATGAGTGGATAGCAGAGGTGTGAACTCCAGTCACATGACTTGGACTGGAGACAGACTCATCACAAATTTTATGACTTTTTACTTGACTTTACTAAATCAAATAAATCTTGCAACTCGACTTGGACTTTCACATCAATGATTCATGACTTTGACTTGAAAATAATTGATACCCTCCCCAAGCCCAAAAAATAAAAGGTATGTCATATTAAAAGTGTGCAAGGAATCAGCTCATTTCCCTTCACTTCCTGGATCAACTAACTTGAACACTGTCAATTCCCTGCAAGTGAACACATAATTCCCCAGATCCACTTTGACTTGAGTGCAAAGACTTGGGACTTACTTGTGACTTGCAAAACAATGACTTGGTCCCACCTCTGCTGTACAGATTGTAACGCTGGTGTTTGACAACATGAAATACACAGATAAATGAATTAAAAGGCCAGTGTGTAATATTTGGCATGGTTTATTGTCAATCTGAATCTGAATCTGAATATTCTGTCCATTAATATGTTTATATAAGTGTATAATCGCTATAAAATAAAATTCGTTTGGTTTTCGTAGCCTTATAATTATGCTTTTTTTATATATATATATAGCAAGGGCCTTGCTTTAGAGAGGTCGCCATCTTGCGCCGCCATGTATGTACGGCAGACCGAGCGGACAATCCAGCCAGCCAGAGAGCGTGTTTCGCGTGTATAAATGAACCAACGAAGACAGCGGGAGGAAGGAAGAAGGAGGAGGAAACAGCAGAGAGTGTTAGTAGTTCATCGATAGAGAGTAGTGAAAAGTTTTTTTAGTTATAAAGTTTGCGAATGGACCACACTTACCACGCAACAGGAAGGAATGAACCCGAACTGTCATCTGCGAGGAAAAGAAAATGCAACTTCACTCCTTGTGATGCACTCTATGCGGCGCTTTTCCTCCTGATGATATATCTCCCCAGCTATGGTAGCACCGAATCCCATTCTGTGCATTCAGCCTCTCTTCTCGCCCGCTCAGCATCAAACACATGGAGTTCCTCATCTGTATGCTCCGGCTCTCATCTGTATGCTCCGGCTCAAACAGGTATGGCTCTGGGTCTGTGTCCGCTACAAGAAACTCTTCAAAATCGCGTTCAAAGTCGTCCATTGCAGCTACTATAGTCCGGAGATATTGCTAGGCTAAATAAACAGCTGAGCTCTGTTTACCGGCCACGCGTCAGTCAGTGTGCGGGCTGGAGATTGGTGGAGCAGAGAGGGAGGGAGTGCCCACTCGGTATGGTAAACGAGTATGTGTGTATGAAGTGTGTGTGTTACGCCAGTAGAGTCAGAGTTTGGGACGGAGTCTTTTACCCTCTGGAGTGTTACCGGAGTTTTTGGAGTGCTCAAATAAATGGGCCTTTTTCCCGAACGCTCCTCTGGTCTCCTGCTCGTGAGGGATTCATTACAATATCGTAACATGGTTTAGATTTCTAAATAAATATTCACCTCATCGCTAGATAGACCTACTCCTGAAAAACTCGTGCGCAATGCTTTTTGTCCCTACGAGGCCGCCGTCATTTACCCGAGGGGAGGGGTGAGCGAGTGAGCCCTGCAATCTAGAATTTGACCACTGATGTCACTGTTTTCAACCCATTTTACACATTGGCCCTTTAAAGTGAGACTGTGTAACCTTTGAAATGAGGAATAACACAAAATAACACATTCCTCCTCTTACAAATGAAAAGTTAAACACATGCTTGTTAAATGCGCTCAGGAGTTTTGCCATTACAGTCTTCATTGGTCTGGAATGGCCAGTAGCTACTGCTTATTAATGCTCACAATCTTTTATAGCTACAGATATGAAACTGACAAAACTTAGTCAGTTAGCTGACTCTTCTCTTCTATGCTAGTGTTTCATTGTTTTAGCATTTAATATGATTTAATTAGTAGTCCAAAATAACAGTTGTTTTTTTTTTTTTGTTTGTTTGTTTGTTTCAGATTGAGGTGAAGCTTTCGATGAAGTTCACCAGCAGAGAGTTCAGTCTGAAGCGAATGCCTTCACGGAAACAGTCGGGTGTCTTTGGAGTGAAGATCAACGTAGTAACTAAGTGAGTTGACGATGTGTTTTGTGTGTGTTATGCCCATACTCCAATTTTGGTATTTTAAGCAACTCAGTGAGTCAACATATATGTGCTCCTTTTTACAATATTATATATTTTGTTCATTTAGTATTAGTATCAGAATTTTGATTTGTTAATGAATGAAAATGAAAACATTAGTCAAAGAATTATGTCTTTTGTCTTTTCCTAAACACTTTTCCTTAACCTCAGTTGATACATCATGAGGAGGTCAAGGAGAGAAGTGAAGGAAAATTTGGATTTAGGAAAACCTTCAGTCCCTTTTCTGTCTACTCATATTTATCCACATAAATCCTAATTAGTATGATTGTATGAAAATAGATGTATGCATGATAGGCATATTGTTTGTTTTCATGAATGGCAGAATAGTGTGTGGCTTTAAATGTTGCAGGGGACAGCGTTATCTCCTTTCCTTTGGTAAAAGATGGTCCAGTGTACCCTATGCTAAAGGAGATGAGAAAGGAAGCACTGAGGCACCTTTCCTTAGCACTTAGAAAATTCCAGCTCTTATTATGGCTGCCACTTAGATACCTATGGGTAATTTCACTCAGTTAGGAAACATCCTAAACAAAAAAGACTATTTGGCCACAGCCCAGCTCCTCCGAGAGGAGGATATAGGGCATATGGGAAGTCTTTTCAGAGGCACTTGTATTTCCAGTGCCCCTGTGGTGACTTAGTACAGGCTGCACTTACTTTAGCCACGGTTCCTTGTGTTTACAGCATTCATATGATGTGCTTTTTGATAAGTAACACCTTTAAACTTGTTTCTATGTGCCTGTTCTCACCAGGCGGGAACGCTCCAAGGTTCCCCTCATTGTGAGGCAGTGTGTGGAGGAGATTGAGCGACGAGGGATGGACGAGGTGGGAATCTACAGAGTGTCTGGCGTTGCAACTGACATCCAGGCACTGAAGGCTGCCTTTGACTCAAGTGAGTTCAGTTAGATTTCTTATCAAAATTGGAAAAAAGAGATACTTCACATGAAGACAAACCTAAAAATAGAGCTCTGCAGGACTGACTCTGCTTAGAAGTGTTTTTGAAGCTCACTGTGCAGCTTATATGCTTTGATATTAAAGACTGTTGTCTCATCTGTCCTGCAGACAACAGGGACGTGTCTGTCATGATGAGGGAGATGGACGTAAACGCCATTGCTGGAACACTGAAGCTGTATTTCCGCGAGCTGCCAGAGCCTCTTTTCACTGATGAGTTGTACCCCAACTTTGCAGGAGGCATCGGTCAGTCACCACTTTTTTATTTTTGCGTAATTTTGGATGGTTAAGAGGGCGTGAGTGCAATTGCGAGTGGTGACACTGGCATATTCATATGTACTTTTCCCTTACAGCTCTCTCTGACAGTGTGGCCAAAGAGAGCTGCATGCTCAACCTGTTGCTGTCTCTACCAGAGCCCAATCTGGTGACCTTCCTCTTCGTGCTGGACCACCTTAAAAGGTAAATTACTATTAATACATTATTTGAGCTATTGTGTATCAGTTGTTAGTCAGTGTGTATGTCTGTTACCCACCCAAAAAGTTATGTATTTTTGTCAAAATTGTAGAGTGACAACAGGTGAGACAAATATGACATTTAGATGACATAAATACATCCTGTTTGGATTGGGAACTTTTTTGTATCTATAGGGTGAATGATGATTGTGGCCCCAGTTGTAAAGGGTAACTGCTAACCAATTAGTAATTTGTGGTTGTAATAGTAATACAAAACAATTAAAGCAGGACTATAACTTTTAAAGGGTAAAATAACACATTCTTCCTGTTATAGATGAAAAGTTTGATTTCTTGGAAATACAATTAAAACTTGCTCAGTTTAATACACACTGCTAAAGCCCGACTTAAGGCCTTTACACACTGGGGGCCTGATGTATAAATGACACAGAAATGCAAAATACTCGCTTGTGAATATTTCAAAACTATTCATACCTGCAGTGATGCAAATGTGTGACAGTTCTAACAGAAAAATTGACCTTATTCCCAAATATTTGTGGTGCTTTTTTGCTGCATAATATTTGCATTCTGTGTGAAAGCATTCATGACAAAAACAGTTTGAAAAAATACTGTCATGCGAATTATCCACACCAAAAAAGCGCACCAGACGTGGTGCATTTTCTGCGGCTGGGAGACGTGTTCATGTGTTTCAGGTGGGAAGAAATTCTTTGTAACATAGGTGAACATGTCACATGAGTCACAGGACTCTGTTTCACAAATGGAAACCAAAAGTTAAACCATCACCAATTTTAACTTTGGCCACACTTCGTTGCAGAATTTAACAGCTACAGGTTGCAGCGGCTGCCGCAGCTTTCCCTAGCCATTGTATAGCTTTTTTCAGTGTAAGGTTGGTATGACCAGAAGATTATGGTAGTTAGCAAATGTTAGCAAATTTAAGATACATTAGTAAATCAGTTCACTGATTTAATGACTCTTCTCTACCTGTGCTACACAAAGTTAGAGCATTTACTATTAAACCTGTACTTATCACTTGCTGCTCTGCCAAAGTTACACGGGCTAGCTTTTGTTTGGTTCAGACTAATGCGCAGCTTTCAGTGAAGCTTGACAAAGATGTACTGTTCAGGATTTTGTGAGTGTCTGGGGATTTATTGTTATTTTTTGCTTTATTCTTACAGGGTGGCTGAAAATGAAAGCATCAACAAGATGTCTCTGCACAATCTGGCCACAGTTTTTGGTCCCACTTTGCTGCGGCCCTCTGAAAAAGACAGCAAAATCTCAAACAGCTCGCAGCCAATTTCCATGAATGACAGCTGGTCTCTAGAGGTCATGGCTCAGGTACAGCTAATGTCAGGATATTGGTGAGTGAGGCAGCGACGTGTGGACTGTGGGTCTGATAACCTTTTTTCTGTGTTTATAGGTTCAAGTCCTTCTCTACTTCCTTCAGCTGGAGAGCATTCCAACACCTGACAGCAAACGTCAAAGCCTTCTCTTCTCTACTGAAGTATAACAGGAACATCATGCACTTGTCTGTAAATGTTCTGCTTGGAGGCAGAATGTCGGCTGCTTAATGAGGTGGAAGCTGCTGAGCAGCCATGGCTGGCTGGTTTCCTCTGAGGATGCTTAATGTAGCCACTAGGTGGAACCGTCAACACATGGTAAACTGGAAACAGCCACCATGACCAAAGCCATTTCTTTTGGAGATGTGATGAGCATGTGTGTTCTGTTTACTTACAAGCTTGCCTGCTGCATCAGTAAAAGACAACCGTATATGATGTGTGGACAAATTATATCATTCCTTTTGTAATTAAATTTTAAATTTCAAGAAGCGTTATTTACTGACTTTAATATGTTTCACTGCCCCGTTCTGTCACTGTGCACATTAGCTCAATATTCACAGAGGGGGATTTCTGCTGTAGTTGAGTTTTCAAAGATTTATCTCTGTGGCAGGATGATGGATGGATGAATGGTTGGATGAATGGACATATGTTTTTCCATGTCTGTACATTTTTTTCCCACCAGAAATGTTTGACTTGGTTTTAAGCTCACCTGTGCCAATGTTTCCCTGCTGATGACCAATAGAACATTTCAGTTCCCCTAATGTTTACATACACTCTTAATTTTGTACAGAATTTAACAGTATGAGACTGAAAACTGTAGTTAACACACAGCAACATGCAGGCATGTTGGCCGAACCATTTAAAGTGTTTTGGTATCTGTGCTATACAGCTTGTATAGTGACCTTATTTCGTTCACAGGTTCTTCTAGTGGTGTCCGAGCCAACTTTTATGTAGATAGTGCTTTTATGAAAGTGGTACAGAGAAGTGAAAGGCAAATCATTCCAGGAAAAGGGCGGGGCCTAACCCCTCCACCCGAGGAATGTATACTGTGCTGTGTATAAATTTTAATTTTGCAGTTGTCTTTTGTCAATATTTCATATGTTTTGTGTCCACGTTGTTTTTTCTTTTTTGATTTGATTTATTCTGTTGATTTATATGTGTTGCTTCCTGCATCCTTCACTGTAGTCTACCTATCTAGGACAAAGCCACACTGCTGTAGAAATGAGAGCACCTGGAGATTATCTCAAATACCAAATGTTCCCGAGTAAGATCCTTGAAGCACAGTGATTCACTCATATCCATGTCCCCTGGCTTATTACTAGGTTTATCATCCACATGCCTAGAATTACTTACTGAAAATACACTCTGTGCTTGCATTAATATTTTTCTTCCAAATCACTACAAGTATTCAACACTTGTCAGCACAAACTATAACCCTAAAGGCTTGTGATTTATGTAAAATAAGCAATAACTCTTAGTGATTATTAGGATGAGACTAGTGGATTGTGTATGTATGATTTATGTAAATAAAAACTTGGTAACAATATTCTTGCAATGTGTCATTTCTTTGAATGAGATAAAACATACTAAAAGCTTAATCTCTGACACGACTCAGCAACGTTTCAGTCCTGTTATAAACATGTACTGAAATCATACTGTAAGTTTACTAAACGGGCTGACTGTACCACCAGATAGTTATGCTCCTTGGTCCCTATGCTGCCAGCATAACACCTGTACAAAGTTCCATCTTTATTGTCCACTAGAGGAGATATTATGCAAATTGTTCAGTGTAGGACTGAAGAAGACAGTGATGAGCATAGAAATGAAAAACTGACCACACATTTTCTGGTTCTGGACTTTAGCAATCCTTGAGTATGCACCCTGCATGCAGTGGCACCCCCAGGAATTTTTCATGGAGGTGTCCGGATGGGGCCACTGAAAATCTTGGGGTGGCACACCAAAGCCAAAATCCATAACTGAGCTGCAGAAGTTCAATTATGCTGTTTTATTTGGCGATATAGGCTAGTTGAAAACTATTTCAATGTGGAGGGTTAAGGAATCACATGCTGATTTACTTTGGTGTCATATTAGGGGTGCCTGCTGTGGAACACAGGCACAACCTATTACTATTCCTCATACTTCTTCTTCTCATTCCTCTTCAATACCAAAATTTCTCCGCGAAACTGGCCTCGCAGTGTAGCCAGCACACAGGTAAAAGTACATCAAAACATGCATAAAATTCGGGAATATTGTGCTATGACTTTTCTCAGAGATTCACCCAGTGGTTTTTACGAAATTCGTAAAATACTGCGCAAGATTTCCCATTCAAAGTGATTGGAGATCATCCAAAAATCAACGTTTCTATTTTAATAGATAATCTTGCTAATTATGTGATGTGCATAGACTAATACCAGTACAGGTAACAATTTGAGCTCCACGGCAATACTTTTTGTAATGTGATATGTGTATACATGCTAGGCTGGTTGTCGTTTTTCCTTATAAAGACAAATATGCAGCTTTATTTTGAAGGAGTACATTGACTGTAAGATTGATATTTCAGATCATTTTAGGGTAAATTAAAAAGGTAAGTATGTTCTCAGTTGGTTGTCATTATGTAGCAACCACCAAAACAAAAATAGTTTTCACATACACAAAAACAAATTCTTTATGAAAAACACATGTTCAAATAACCTAATAATCTAATAACAATGAAGGTGTGAGATGTATTAGAGATAATGTGAAAGATCTATGTGAACCCTACTAAGGGTATAATCGACAGATACTAATGGTTATATAGTAACTGGGTCGACATGCCTTTTTGTGCATCGTTTCTTCTACTCTGTGTGAGGGTGTGTGAAGGTGTTGTAGGCTACATTTGGTTGAGGAGAGGCTCTGCAGCCGTTTGGCCCAGCGCCAGTAGTAATATGGAAACAATAATAAACGAGCCTCTGGATATGTAGACATGCTGGGGAGAGGCGGTGTCCCCCCCGTACGGAGGGTGATGCTGAGATGATGCAACCAGAGGAGGGGGCAGAGGATCATCCGGCTGCTGCCAACAGAGAGAGAGAGGCTGACATCCGAAACCGATGCTGCCTGCCGTCTGAAGTTGGGGATTAGTGAAGTGTTTGCCACCCCAAATGAACACCCACCGGACATTTATCAACGTGTCAAACAGAAAAAATAGGAGAACCTCAGGTATGAATATTTTATTTGCTCACTAAAACAGCGCTGTGTTTTTGCCGGCTATGCTAACACTGTTAGCCGAACGGTAGCATTAGCAACCTTAGCTTTGCCATTGCTCCCTGACAGCTGAGGTGAATTAACTGACTGGAAAGAAACGCACAAACCTACTCTGAAGTGGTATTAACAACGCGCACCCGCTTTGTTCCTTTTGTTTGTTATAAATAGAATAATAGCTTTGGTTTTAACCATCAAACTATATTTTTTGTCAGCTGTCAAGGTAGAATAACTCACTTGAACCGTTACTCTGAATTATTTCAAAATAAGTCGCGATGTGTTGACAGGTAGCCCCAGTGTCAGTCATAATTTAATGTGCGTCACTATAACTGCGTTTATCACAGTTACTGCTGAATTGAGCTTTTTTTTCCTGATTAAGGGTAATTTATGTTTAACTATAACAGTGTTTTTGTTGGCTGTAAAATCGCCACAAATCTTTTTATTACTCTCAACAATGGTTTGAAATAAGATGTGATGCGAGTGGGCGCACTTCAGCTTATTGCTAATGCGGGTCGTGACAAGACTACCTATAATAATACAGTATAATAATATAATATTTGAACAAAATTTGGGCATCGCTAGATCCAGAGCTTTTGACTGTATTGTAACGTTACACTTGGATTATCTTTTTCACCTGAAATATACTATACAATATCTTTATTTGTTATATCACTACTTTCACTGTAGGTTCAAAATCTCGCTTTTTCGGAGTTTTGACATGATTATTATAGTTTAAATAGCGAGTGTCTAACGTGTCTAGCTCGGTGCTTTTGTTTTGAAAGCGTATGGCCAAACAGGAAGTGAAATGACTGAAATTCCCTGCGTGTCTGACCTCAAAGCTAACTAGCTAGCTGGGCTCCTTGTGTTTTAAGTTGCCATTTGGTGTCTATCATGTAAGTACCAATGTTTGCTTACTCTAAAGAGTGGGGCAGTTATCTCTACCAAGAGGTTTGGTGGGTTAAGTCTGTCCTTGTGTGGTTAAATGGCACATTGTTAGGGCTAACGTTAGCCGTGGTGCTGCTAATAGGTGTAGCTAAGAACAATGTAAATTTGCCACCCCCTTAGAAGAGTCAACAGTGAACTGATGAAGCTTGTCACTGGCTCTTGGCCGGCCCAGACTACCGCAGAGCTGTAGCCTGGGTGTCTTACTAAATCCTCCTCTCTTTCAAAGTCAATTAATTTAAAAATCATCTTCACCCGACGTGACCACAGATGTTTCCTAACTTTGCTGGAATAGCTTGGAAAGAGCAATATTTTACAGCCCATTCTTTAAATCATTGTCCAGGAGATATGACTTAGGAGATATTTCGTCATGACTCTGCCTAATCATTGCTTCACTGTTAGGAAACTATTTGGGAAAACTCTTAAGTCTTGGGATCTTTGCCCCCAAGTGACGTTGAAAAAGGGGAGACAAATAAATGTATTTCCAAGACAGCCTCACAAGTCAGGACCAATCCTATGCTTAATCCTTAATCCTATGCATAATTAAATTTAATAAAGACGATTAATTTATTGTCGCAGTAGGCATGACAACTCTTGTTACTGATTCTTCATTTTTATCAGCATATTTTTGTAGCATTGAAATACGAAGGTACAATTCCAATATGACTGAGGGCTAAATCGCCAAAATGGTTTGTGTATTTGCATTCCAGGTTTGTGTTTTAATAGTGAGGCATATTATTTTGAAATTCTCGGTTTGACAGTGTTTGTTCTGTCTCAGGCAGACTGGTGCCTGCTTGTCCTTGTACACACAGTCACCCTTTTCAAGTTTACCCCTTTTTTTAATGGAGACGCCACCACAGGAAGCTGATGTTATGGCAAGGAAGTGCCTCCCCACAGTTAACGCATGAATAAGGGAGGAGAGCAGGAAAGGGGTATTAATGAGTTCCTAGACCTCCGCTACCCCCACGTCCCTTTCTGCTTAGACTGTTTCTTCTGCATCTTCTGTCTCAGTGTCATGCTTTGTTCAGCTGTCTGTAAAGGAACACTACACACACTTGTTCCTTCGGTCAGCCTTGGATCAGATCCATTGCATTCATTAACACTGAAATCGAATACTGTAGCTCCCTTTAATTTCAATCAGGATAAGTGTTATTGGCTTCTGGCTCGATTTGTTGAGGAGCAGCTCAAGTTCTGCAGCACAGAGCACTACATGGCTACACTGAGTGGAGGTGTTTTGAACATGTGAATATTTCTGTGACAACCTCCGACCTCTCATAGCATAGATAGTGATGGACTATGTATGATTAAGGGGCAAAATTATTACATGTAAAACAATCATATCCTTGTGGTTGCTGATATGTTGTAGATTCTGAATATAGGCCCCACAATCATTCCCCAGAAGAAGAGGAAGACTTTTGCATTTGGCCAATATTTAAGAAAATGTCTGCTAGTGGCAGAGAAACCTGATGGACTGCAACCTTTTCATTTCTGTGTTATTTCTTTTCAATTTTAGCTATATTTAAACAGTAATACATCAGAGGTCATGAACAGTCATCCCAAAAATGTGGAATCACCAAGATTTTGTTTTCTTGCACCGTGTCAAATATTGTTTTTGATACAGTGCAGTTCATTACAGTTATAGGTGAAAACTACAGTAGTGTGGGAATAATGACTATTTAGACCACTCTCTCTAAACCAAACAAAGTGAGGCTGACAGGCCAGTGTGTACAAATTTATGATGTATATTTGAATGATTTTTTGAAGAGTTTCTGAATTGGTACACGCGCAGTATTTTGCAGAGTGAGAGAGTGAAAGAAAAGGGAGCCGCCTCTGCCCCATTTAGCTGCACTTTTGGTCCCCAGCCTGTGCTCCCATGTCTATTCAGATCCAATGAAAAGAGCAGTGCATTAGCTAGCAGCTCTCCATTACAGACATCTGCTTTGACACACATTCAGCAATTCAGAAAACTGGCTAGTTCTCGAGCACACACGTCAGTACTCAGGGAAAATGCACTGCCAAACGTATGTGTTATGGATAAATACTTGCATACACAGGGACTACAAAGTTGAGTGTGCAAAAAATCAGTTAAGGTTTGGAAGTAGAAGGATCATGGTATATTATGTAGCAAGCTGAGTCCTATTGATTGCCCTGTATCTTTAGCTGGAGAAGTTGTGCGCTTGGTGGTGAGTTTCGCAGCTGCAGTGGTGCAGTTTTGAATTTTCTTTGTTTCTTTGTGCCCAAAAGATTTGCGTTTTAAGAAAACAGTAAGAATACATACAAATCAGGACTACAGAAGTGCTGGCAATGGCAGACTGAAAGACAACCAAAGCTTCCCAGGCAATTATTTATAGCTTCACTGCATGTATAATTTAAGATAACCTGTCAACATATAAAATCTAGATCTGGGTAACATGTAGTGGGAACTGTACAGACATAAGAAAGGACGTGTTCTCAAAATATGGCCATGACATGAAGCTTCCAAATAAGGTGAGGCCTATGGGGATATAGTAGCTTAACCTAGTGAAAGAGACTGAGTGGGGAAAGATACACGGTGTAAACTTAGAGTTAATATTCTAATCATGAACGGTCAAAGAGGTTGCAGGTGTAAACACAATATGCTATAAGTATACTATGAAGGCAGAGTTTGTATTGTAACCATAACCCTGTACTAAAGGTCTGTTTAGAATCTAACCAGCTGAGACACATTATTTGCCATTTCCTCCACATGGGGCAGAGAAGACTGTTTTTGTTTGCTTGCAGCACCTTCTAAACGTACACTTAACTGTCTGTGTTCTGATGGTATGTGACATATATTTTATGGCTGTCAGAAGTTTTCCACAAAAACAACAGTGAGCATGTTATTTTGAGTAAAGATTTCAAGTGCTACAATGTGAAAAATATACGTTTTTATCTTTAAGTCAAATCCAACTTGTCATAACTCTTTCCTAAAGCCTAGAGCTGTGTGTTTTTGTGGTTTGGTCTTATAAATCAGGTGTAGCTAAACCCTTCTCAGAATCTACGTCACTGGAGGCCAAGGTTAACCCAACAGAAATTAGAAGCCAAGTAAATAGTCTCTGCTGAAAAAAAAAAGAATCACTTTGAGGACTTGAAGTGTGCTCAGAGTGGAAGATTTGGTACAGGATGACAGATTTAAAGTAACATCTGCACCCAGGCAACACAGCTGAAATCTATTAGAAAAGTATTTGTTTTTGAATAAAGTGCAGTTGTGGTCTAGCAGTAGGTTATTTTGGATTATCTGGAAGTATTGGGAAAGAGACAGTTGACAGTATGTGGTGCAGATGTGAGGTATTGTGTGCAGATCTCCTCCTGCACCTGCTGTATCAGATTGTAAGTATTGACTTAGTTTTGTAGCATGTATTTGTGTAGTTAAGATTGAGTGAAAGGCTTTAGTCCATGAATTGTCTAAACATTTGAGCTCCTGCTGCAGTGCATTGGTCAGCTTCTCACAGTGTTCTATTTAAAATCTGATTTACTGCTGATACTTGATTATATTTATTTCCATATCCAAACAACAAACTTCTTCTTAGGAAAACAACAGTGCTGACTCTGACTGTAGCTGGGTTTCTTACGTACAATAAATAACTTCAGTTCACTTTTTCCTCTCAAGAGCCATAGTGCAAAAACTTCAAGATGTCCAAATCTGTGCTAAAGTACTTACTCTTTGTTTCCAGCTGTGTCCCAAATCACTTTTTTTTTTGCTATCGTGGCATCAGTTCAGGTTCTATTCAGACCTGGACGCAGCATGTAAACAATACTGAATAAAGCTTTGTGTGTTTTAAACAAGCATTTGTGATTTGGTTACAGCCAGTTTCAGCACCTTGTTCACTGCCAAATGAACACCGCTTATTTGCAGAATTATAACAGATAACTGGTCGGTTTTAAGACTTGCTGCTAATTCAAGACACATTTTGTAACAATGCATAATACAGCTCACCAAATTATGCTCAAGAATGTGCCCCCATTAAATTGTTAATGGGAATCTTTTCTGGTTTGTCAAGCTGTTTAAATTCAACAGCAGTAATTGTGAACTGCTATGAGTTGCACGAACAAGGCACTGAATGATTTCTTGGCAGTGCGAGATGATATTCAGTGCATCAGACCGGTTGCCCAGTAACAGAATAACGGACTCACATTTTTGCCACACAAAATGTGAAGGCAGTTAAGTTTGTTTCACTTTGATCTGTCAAGGAATCTGCTTTTCCTTTTTTGGCTCTGCTGAATACTCTACTCAACGCCAGAAAAACTTGCCCATGTTTGTCTGTGCTAAGGAGTAGAGTGGAGAGTAGCAGCAGCCACCCCCACATAGATTAAACTCTTTATCAGTGTGATCGTTGTTGCAGCTGACAGGCAAGTGAAACTCTGAACCAACTGAACTATTGCAAACACATGAGAGCCATCTAGTGGAGACACCGGTAGGCAATTGAAAGCTTCAGTGTCTATCTTAGATTCCTGTAAAAGGGGTGGTTGACTACAGCTGTCATAACAGCCACAAGGATTCAAATGGCCACACAAGTGTCCATGTGTCATCTTGTAAATATAAATTGAAATTTTAAAACTGCAAAATAGGGATTTTAGGGATTGGAAGAATGATCTAAATTATCCACTACCTCCCAAACTCCAAAGAGCTCAGTTACTCAGTGTGGTCTCAGTGTTTTCTGGTGTTAAGGGAATTGTTCTGTGGAAAGAATTCCTCTTCCATGGAAAACTGGAGCTATCACTGTGCGCTCTGACATACATTACCTTTCCCCTCCCTCCGTTGTGCACAGATTGAGCTGTAAATGTATCGGCATCAGAGAGTTCAGTATGAAGAAGTCAGTCCGGCCAGCGGTGAGTAAGGTGAGTGGGGATCGAGGGAAGTCAGAGGCCACGGCTACCGCTGGGACCGGAAAGCCTGCAGCCAAGACTGGCACCACTGCACCTCTGTCTAAGGTAAGACTCATTAAGTGATGGACCAGATGCTGCTTTCTATTTGATTTGGTTTTTGAATGAAAGTCAGTGTTCATGCTTTCAGGTGAAAAGCAATGATGATCTTCTAGCAGCTATGGCCGGAGGGAATCCTGCATCAAGTAATGCTGTCAGCAAGACCAAGAGGACTGCCTCCATTGGGACTACTGCTAGCAACATAGACAGCAAGCCAAAGACAACATCAGGTATATGTCATATTCCATGGCTACATGTGAATTTTATCTTTTCTGATGTATTTCACTGGGAATGTAAAGATAACCTTATTCTTTCTTTCCAGGTACTTTATCCAAGCGTACAACATCTTCGATTTCCAAGGAGCCAAATTCATCACGAGACCGTCTGCGAACATCCAGGACCTCAGCCAATAAGAAGCAGTTGGTATCAGGGACTGTATCGGGGGATGTAGCCTCAGGAAAGCGCTCTCGCAGCCAGATCCAAGCAGAGTCTGATGGCCGTATGAGCAAGTCTAAATCAGACGGCCAGATCAGTGATAAGGTGGCTCTGGAGACCAAAGTGAAAGACCTGTTGGGTTTGGCTAAAAGCAAAGACGTGGAGATCCTCCGCCTCCGCAGTGAGTTGAGGGACATGAGGGCCCAGCTTGGCCTGGGAGGGAAGGAAGCACCACAGCAAGAAGAAGCTGGGGAGGAAGAGAAGCCCCAGGTTTCAGCCATCACAGCAGCTGATGTGGAGTCCACTCTGATTCTCTTACAAGAGCAGAACCAAGCCATCAGAGAGGAGCTCAACCTGCTGAAGAGTGAGAACCGAATGCTAAAAGACCGCCTCAATGCGCTAGGTTTCTCTCTGGAGCAGAGGCTGGATGCCTCTGACAAGCTGTTCAACTATGCCTCCCTGAGCCCGGACCTGGCAGTGGGCAGCGGGCAGAGTGATGGTGGTGGAACAGGTACACTGACCTCCTCAGTGGAAGGCTCGGCCCCCGGCTCTTTGGAGGATCTGCTCACAGGACACCAGCATGGAGGCTCAGCAGACAACCTCGACAGTGAATCTAGTGAGGTTTACCAGGCTGTCACCTCCAGTGATGATGCTCTGGATGCCCCCTCTGGAGCTTCCTCATCATCTGAGTCAGAGTGCGCACCCAGCAGGGAGCACTCACGGAGGGGCAGCAGCGGCAATGCCAGTGAAGTGTCAGTGGCCTGTCTTACGGAGCGCATCCACCAGATGGAAGAAAACCAACACAGCACTGCTGAGGAGCTCCAGGCTACGTTACAGGAGCTGGCTGACCTGCAGCAAATCACCCAGGAGCTGAACGGAGAGAATGAGCGGCTAGGTGAAGAGAAGGTGATCCTCATGGACTCCCTGTGCCAGCAGAGCGACAAGCTTGAGTTGTATGGTCGACAGATCGAGTACCTGCGCTCTCTGCTGGATGAGCATCATATATCATATGGACTAGAGGAGGACATCAAGAGTGCCCGCTACATGGAGCTGGAGCAGCGCTATGCAGACCTGGCAGATAATGCCCGCTTTGAGAGGGAGCAGCTGCTGGGGGTTCAACAACACTTGTCCAACACACTGAAGATGGCTGAACAGGACAATGCTGAGGCCCAGGAGATGATTGGAGCACTGAAAGAGAGGAACCACCAGATGGAGCGCATCATGGAGTCAGAGAGACAGGGCCGAGCTGCCATGGGGGCTGCACTTGAAGAGTACAAGGCAGCAGTGAGCAATGACCAAGCGGAGCTGAGCCGCTGCAGAGCCCAGCTGGACCAGGAGAGGCAGAGGGTGGCCGAGCTGTACTCTCTTCACACCGCTGGGGACAAAAATGATATCTGCCAACTGCTGGAAGGAGTGCGTCTGGGGAAAGAAGAGGCGGAGGCCAAGGCGGCGAAGTTACAGGAGGAACTGGAACAAGCCCACAGTGAACTCACGCGGCTGCAGGAGACTTTCAGTAAGGTCAGTTAAAAGTTGAAAGAGATTTTGAGAGACATCAATTTCCTTAAGTCATGAGATGCTAAATTGATGTGTCTGACCTAAATGAAACTTTAATCTAGGGTGCAAGAACTCATGTAACAGTTTTTGGGTCACCAAAATGAGTTCCCTTTTGTTTATGGAGCAGAGCCAGATTTGACCTTGAAAACATCACAAACTCAGCAGTCAGGTCTCCAGGGTTTTCCCTTAGCAAGGAGTGGCCAACGCTCCTTGTTAGTACTTCACCAACATAACACTAGGCAGAGGATAACTGTATGGATGTGTGCTTAACACACACATACTGTGCACAATATATCTCCATAAATTACTGTATGACACCGCTGGAGCTTTGTTGCACATTAGTCAGCTAATTACTTTAAGGCTTGTTAATGAAATAAAGGACACCCCTCTTCCTGTGTGTGCAGCTGGACAGGGAATACAGAGACTTCCAGGAGCAGGTGCAGCAGCAGATGGCCGAGCAGGAGCGTGTCCTGGAGAAGCAGCGTGTGGACCTGCAAGAGAAAGAGACTGAGATCGCAGATATGAAGGAAACCATCTTTGAGCTGGAGGATGAAGTAGAGCAGCACCGAGCTCTTAAACTCCACGATAACCTCATCATCACAGACCTTGAGAGTAAGTGGACTGGACACACAGAACAGTGTAAACTCATAGTAATGAACAAACCTTTACTGGCTTTATGAACCCTTGTGTTTATTCAAGCAGGCAGCCAGTGATCATTTAGAAATCCTGCTGTGTGAAATCAAAACCACTATCTACTATACAACAATATCTGGTTTGATTGACAGTCTTTCATGTTGCATATCTCAGAGGTCTTAATGTCCTGGCATCAAGTGTTTGTCAAACTTGGGTCAGACCAACATGAATTTGTTTCCTACTTCAGACTCTGTGAAGAAGCTGCAGGACCAGAAGCACGACATGGAGAGAGAGATTAAGATTCTTCATCGTAGACTGAGGGTAAGAGTGCTACAGGGGGCACTGGGCTATTTGCAGACTGGGATTAAATACTATTTGCATAAAACTCTTTGTTTTGGATAGGGTTTAGAACACTAGAGCCATTTTCTCATGTGAACTCTGGACAATGTCCGGAGTTTCCTTTTCACACATGTAGCACACAACAGGAGAGATTATCTGTGCCAGATATGGAGAAAACTGCTTATGTTTCAGTGAATCTGGGTCTGGATGTGTAGATAAGTAATTGTTTGTTAACACGTTCACTGTATCAACATTTGTTTGCCCAAGGGGCTAACAGAATCATGAATACTGCTTTAATGATCCGGTGTACAATTCAGCCTGAATTGTTTTCCACTGTCTGCTGTTGTCTTACTCTGTGTGTGTGTGTGTGTGTGTGTGTGTGTGTGTGTGTGTGTGTGTGCAGGAAGAATCGATGGAGTGGCGTCAGTTCCAGGCAGATCTGCAGACAGCTGTTGTCATTGCTAATGACATCAAGTCCGAAGCCCAGGAGGAGATCGGAGACCTGCGGCGCCGGCTGCAGGAAACTCAGGAGAAGAACGAGAAGCTGTGCAAGGAGCTGGACGAGCTCAAGAGCCGGAAGTAAGAAACACAGAGAGAGACGTTTGGAAGAGCTCCAGCAGTCATGCTGACATTGTCCATCTCATGCTTGTACTATAAACAAGATGAGGGAACATTTAACTTTGCTTATTTGATTATGAGTGAGGGTGCTCAGTAGTGGGGTTTGCATTATATTGTCACTGATGAATCCCACAGTTGAAAAAATGCCTTCACGGAGTAAATGATTTGTTAAATTTCACCATAATGGTCTCAACAACATGACGTAAACCCCTGAATAAGAACCATCCTTGAACCATATTGTAAAAAATTGTCAGCATATGAGCTCTGAGTGTTCATACTTAGCAGAGTACTGTATGTTTCCCAGGCAAGATGAGGAGAGGGGCAGAGTGTATAACTACATGAATGCAGTAGAGAGGGACCTGGCTGCTCTCAGACAGGGAATGGGTCTCAGCCGGCGATCCTCCACCTCCTCAGAGCCCTCGCCCACCGTCAAAACACTTATCAAGAGCTTTGACAGTGCCTCACAAGGTACCTAACAATCATACCGTACTCCACTTCCCTCACTTTTATATGTTGCTGCTGGTTTTAATAATAACATGACATCAGGAGTGTGTGGAGCAGGTCTGAACTGAGCTGTATGTGTTGGTTCTTTTTTTACCATTTAACTTAGGTCCACCTACCAATGGCAGTGCCACTGTGACTCCAACAGCCTCTGCCACCCCACTACCACGCACTCCCCTCAGCCCCAGTCCCATGAAGACGCCCCCAGCAGCTGCTGTTTCACCCATACAGGTACAGGAGAATAAGCTTTGCATGTATATGTTGCTGTGGTGTTATCGTACCATTTCACACCTTTTAGTGGTTAATTTGGAACTATATCGGCCACAGTGGGAAAACTAGTCTTAAGCTTCATGAGACAGCATAAAAAACACATTAGACAATCGATGAGGACAGATGTGAAAAACTTAATACGAACAAACCATAGATGATAAAAGTGATTTAAAAAATAAATGAAAAAAATAGAGAAGGGCCAGTTGCAAGATTTAGTTTGTAAACATAGAGTCTGAGGAACAAAATAATGATTGTTTTTTATGTAGGTTATTCTATCTAAAATGTATTTGGAGCGAGTACAAGTGACCACCCGTGAGGAGGATTTTTTTCACTGTTGAGAAGGTTATTAATATTCTAATAAACAAAGCTTTACCTGCTCTCTCAGTGACTACATTTACATGCACTCCAGTATTCAAGTATTATTCTAAATATGACAATATTCTGAATTTCACACAGGTCATGTTAACAGCATATTCTATTAGGATATTCTGAATTAGGCCAAATAGGAGAGTGTCAACAAGCTGCTGCAAGGCTGCGAAGCTTGGGAGACTGATAGTGTGGGTGCTATGACCCTATGCCCGCAGAGAAAGAATGCCTATGTTGTAAAGAATGGTTCGTGTACACATTTCAGAAAAAGTGACATCTCGTGAGATTTCAGAACAAAACTTCTACCGCTGCCTTTTCACTAAATACTGAACCAATTTCAAAAATTGTCTTTTTGGGAATAAGGGTAAAAAACTATATTTTGTGAATGTTAGCGTAGTCACTGCCAGTTGTGCATGGAGTCACTTAACTGTGTAAACTGTAAATATAAAACACGTCCTGTCTTTGTGAGGTGAGTAGCCATTTCATAGTTCTTGTTTTTTATTCACCCAGTGCCTCAGCAGTTTGTATTACTACTAGTATAATTATTAGCGAGTGAGGTGGTGAGAGGTTGTAGATGAATTAGACTGTCAGGCAATGCCGCTAATTTATACATTGCATTTTAAAATAACAAAGTCTTTGGATTTATCAGGTGGATTAGAGATGGCAATGCAACTATGTTGTTTGATGAAACTCATCTGAATTAGTATGGAATGAATTGTACACTCAACACAGTACACAGAAATGTTTTTATAGATTAGTCTGAGTAACTTCATCTGGGAGCACACATTATATCATTTGTATGTGACTGTGAACTAACCTTTATCAACCAAAACTCTTAATCTCCAGTTGTTGTTTTTTACTGTCCCATGAAAACGGTTCATTTTTAATGAGCAAGGGAAAACAAGTCTGTTTTTAGTGTTGTTGACAGTGCATTCTTCCAGATAATCCAATAGGTTTCTTTGAAAACTGCAAAATCACCATATGTGGAGATACTCAGTTCTCTTTGGACAATTTATTTTGTTATTTAGAAATTGTTGACATATTTTAAATTTTATTACTTTTATATTAAGACCTCTTGCAGCATTTAAAACACAGAAAGTTATTATTTTTTCCTTTGCTTTTTTGTTTTAGAGACACTCCATAACTGGCTCTATGTCAGCAGCCAAGCCACTCTCCTCCCTGAGTGATAAGAGGCCCAGCTACACAGACATAACCATGCCAGGTGAGGCGGCCATCATGGTGATCATTTAAATACATTCCTTACACTGTATGATTAATAACAGTTTCTGTATTTCAGAACTGTTACTCTCAGAAATGCAGGTGTAAATCTATAAAAGGTCAGATTAATACATTGTTAAATATGGGTCACACAAAAGAAATGAGTCCTTCGGCCTCTGCTATACCTCTGTTACAGTAAACTAATGATAAACGGGAATGGACCTCCCCTCTGTCATGAGAAATAGCACGACAATGTTTCCCTGGAGGCCTGGAGTTGGGAGTTAGCAGGTCTACTGTATGTTGACTTCATGTTTTAGTTAATCAAAACACAAGAGTGGATGATAAGAGGGAAATGACGAGGCACCACATACTGTAGAATTTCCCTCAGTCCGTTCTCACCAGTAATGAGTTCAAGTGTTTAATGTGAACGTGCAGACTGGACCGTCGCCTCCAATGTTCCATTTATGTTTCTTAGATTTATTATTTTCCTGCTGAGTGAGGCAGCGTCGTTCGTTGGTATTCCCTGAACTCTGGCTGGAATGTGGCTCTATGCTGACCCTGTTATCTAATTTCAGAGGAAGTCCCTTATAGAAGCACTCACACTATATGTGATGTATATACTGTAATGTATCCACAGCTGAGCACCTTCTCAGGGGAACCTCGGCTAGCCGACCTCAGTCTGTCCTCCAGAGGGTTTCCAACATGGACTCCACCAAGACAATCTCAGGTTAGAGATGCTAGCCAAGTTATATAAACTTATTACGAAACTGTTTTAAACTAACTCAGTCAACAGTGTATTTAAAATAAATGTCTAATTGTGTCCCCCATCCCGAGCAGTGTCCCGAAGAAGCAGTGAGGAAATAAAGAGGGACATGTCTGCTACAGATGCCTCCTCAACCTCCCTAATGGCTATGAGCGCTGCCTCCTCGCCGCTCTCCCTGTCCTCCTCCTCCCCCACTGCCTCCATCACCCCCACAGCACGCAGCCGTCTAAGGTACCACCTTCTGGGGCCCTGACTCACTTGTGTGTTGTACTGGTTTGGTATAACTGGGTTGTGTTATTTGCCTGTAATCCAGCAAATGTGCACACACTGCCTGTTTAATGTCAGTGTCTCTGTTTTCATTTTTGGTCAACTGCATGTGTGACATCACCTCTTCATACTTTGGCTGTGATTCGTCTCCTGACAAAACATACAGCTCATAGCCCACTAAGCAAACATGCTTACCATGTTATCTGTTCGCCTCACTAACACATTAAATCTCGGTGGCAGCGTGTTTACTTACATGTCTCTGCTGTGTGTCTGTTACAGAGAAGAAAGAAAGGACCCGCTGTCAGCACTGGCCAGAGAGTACGGAGGCTCCAAGAGAAATGCTTTGCTTAAGTGGTGCCAGAAGAAGACTGAGGGTTATCAGGTAGGTCACTGGGAAGTACGAGCTCATCTGATCCTACATGATGAAGTGATGAACTGTTCTCCACTGGCTTGGGAAGAAGCTGGCACTGTATAACAAACACTGTTAAAGGAGAACTCCACTGATTTTTACACATCATAGTCTGTTTTCGAGTGTTAGAGAGAACTGCACATATGTGAAAAAAAGTGGTGGAAGAAGTATGTAGGTTTTTTACTTAAGTAAAAGTAGCGATACCACAGTGGAGAAAAACTCTGTTACATGTGAAAGTCCTGCATTCAAAATTTACTTAAAGTACCAAAGTGAAAGTTCTCATTATGTAGACTGGCCTATTCCAGACAAATTTATATTATACTACTTGATTATAATTGTTGATGCATTAATGTATTCATCACTTTAACGTTGCAGCAGGTCAAGGTGGAGCTAATTTTAATTACTTTATATACTTCTGGGTAGTTCAGCCTGTATTAATACATCATAATGTATTTTTTTATCTATATTGTTATTTTATATTTTGTATTAATAATGTAACTATGCAAAGTAACCAGTAACTTAAGTTATGAAATGAATGTAGTGGAGTAAAAAGTACAAAAGTATTAAGTAGTAGAAAATGGAAATACTCCAGTTATGTACAGATACCTCAAAATTACACTTAAGTACAGCACTTGAGTAAATGTAGTTATCTACATTCCATCTCTAGAAAAAAGGTTGTATAAAGCATTTTGTGAGCTGTGTTAAATCTGATAAATTGAGTGGTTTGAGTCAGCGTTGGTTGGGTTTGAAGACCCTGAGTGGTACAGAAGAAGGCTATGATAAGTAAGAACAAGGTCATTTATTCCGTCATGGCCTGGATCAAATATGGCGATACAAATATATAGTTTGTGGTGTGTTGCTAGTTCCGGTTTAAAGCAACAAGCTGAGCGGTACCTGACCAAAAATAGGCAAAAGAAAAATTAAAGGAAGTCATCTCTGGAGAGCTACAAACAGAATCAGCAGCACAAACAGACAGCACAGTTTTATGATCAATTCAGTTATTCATAAAACACATTAATTGAATGATTTATCATTAATTGAATAATTTATTTTGTACTACATGTCTGAAATTGATGTGAATGTGTGTTTAGGTGCTCAGTTGAAATTAATAAATTATGTAGAACATGAAAAGGGGTTTGTTATTATATCTGTTTTTACGTAAGTACATATTGTCAGGAGACTAATTTTATGACTGGACAGTGAGATAAATATTACTGGTGAACCGTATCTGCCTAAGCTGAGACTCCCTTAGCTGAGACTTTGACAAAACCAGTTGTAGAGTGAAAGTTATAATCCAGTAAATCAGTCCTGGTTAATTTGACAACACCTGTGGTAACAGCAGGTACAGTTTAATACTGCAGTTGCCAGTTCCCAAAATTCTGGAGGCAGCAAACACACATTGAGCAGCTTTTTTTTTTTTTTTCAGAACACAACAGAAGAGAAACTGGTGTATCTGTCTACATTACAACCAATTAAACTGACAATGTAACAATAATGAAATTAGTCAATAATCCATCATGTGGTGAGTGTAGCCTGTAAGTCTTTATCTAGTAGCTCACTGGCTGCTCCTATCTCATTACTCCCTGCAATATTTAAAGCTGATCAGTTGCCCAAAGATGCCAGAAATGACTTTTGTCATGTTTTGTTGTTGGATTTCATGTAGATGCCCACTGAGTGCTTTTTAATTTGAAGTAGCAGCAGTCGTAACTGTTTGGTTTGCATTAGAAGCAACTTAATACAACTCTGATATGCTGCAATGAGAGTTAACAGTGAGACTGATATCAGTGACATAAAATTAAAAACAGTAAAAATGGATAACATGTCATTTCCTTTGAGTACCTTTTACATACATAAGTAGGCAATCAGAATCTATGATGAACACAACAATAAAATCTACTATATAGAAAAAGAAGTACAAAATGTAAATACTTAGCAGAAAAAATGCTTACCAAAAGTAATATCAAAAACAGGGTTTGAGTTTATCAAAATTTCCAGGATTATAACTTTGACTCTTGAGTCGATGTATATGTATACAAAGACAAAACTGTCAAAGCATTGAGCTAAAAATGACTGAGACTGAAATGACAATCAGTAAGCGTGTCAAGAGTCATTTGCCATATTGAAGTGATGTTCAACCCTCTTAACTGATGTAGGTTATGGTTACCATGACACCCCAGGCCCTCCACAGGAAGTGTGCAACATTTAACACATCCTGCAAGATACCACCTGACAAAAACATGAGGCTTTTTTAATCATATTGTACCATCCTTATTATAGCTGTGACACTGAGGGTAGGTGAGCATTGAGTTACATATAACCTCAGTGTTGGTCTGAAATCATAGTTACAGCCCCTACAAAGGTCAGATGGCAGTTGATGGTGGAAAAGATGATAAATATCATACAGATGAGTAATGTATAAGATCACAGGCTGACAGTGACATTCATGACCTGGGATAAAATGTTGTATCTCAGATGAGGCGTAGGAAGTGGTTTTCCATTGATTTGTCAAGTTAAATCAAAGTTAAAGGGCCAGTGTGTAATATTTGGCATGGTTTATTGTCAGTCTGAATCTGAATCTGAATATTCTACCCATTAATATGTTTATACAAGTGTATGATCGCTATAAAATAAAATTCGTTTTCGTAGCCTTAGAATTATGCTTTTATATATATATATATAGTAAGGGCCTTGCTTTAGAGAGATCGCCATCTTGCGCCACCATGTATGTACGGCAGCCCGAGTGGACAATCCAGCCAGCCAGAGAACGCGTTTCACGTGTATAAATGAACCAACGAAGACAGCGGAAGGAAGGAAGGAGGAGGAGGAAACAGCAGAGTGTTAGTAGTTCATCGATAGAGAGTAGTGAAAAGTTTTTTTAGTTATAAAGTTTGCAAATGGACCACACTTACCACGCAACAGGAGAGAATGAACCCGAACCGTCATCTGCGAGGAAAAGAAGACGCAACTTCACTCCTTGTGATGCACTCTCTGTGGCGCTTTTCCTCCTGATGATATATCTCCCCAACAATGGCAGCAGTAGCACCGAATCCCATTCTGTGCATTCAGCCTCTCTTCTCACCCGCTCAGCATCAAACACATGGAGTTCCTCATCTGTATGCTCCGGCTCAAACAGGTATGGCTCTGGGTCTGTGTCCGCTACAAGAAACTCTTCAAAATCGCGTTCAGAGTCGTCCATTGCAGCTGCTATAGTCCGGAGATATTGCTAGGCTAAATAAACAGCTGAGCACTGTTTACCGGCTACGCTGTCAGTCAGTGTGCGGGCTGGAGATTGGCGGAACAGAGAGGGGAGGGGGGTCCCCACTTAGTATCGTAAACGAGTATGTGTGTATGAAGTTAGAAGTGTGTCTGTTACACCAGAAGAGTCAGAGTTTGGGACAGAGTGGTGTGTTACCGGAGTTTCTGGAGTGCTCAAATAAACGGGCCTTTTTCCCAAACGCTTCTCTGGTCTCCTGCTCGTGAGGGATTCATTACAATATCGTAACATGGTTTAGATTTCTAAATAATAAACATTCACCTCGTCGCTAGATAGACCTACTCCTGAAAAACTCGTGCGCAAGGCTTTTTGTCCCTACGAGGCCACCGTCATTTACCCGACGGGAGGGGTGAGCGAGTGAGCCCTGCAATCTAGAATTTGACTGATGTTACTGTTTCCAACGGTTTTCAACCCATTTTACACACTGGCCCTTTAAAGTGAACTGTTGATTTGTTTTTCAGAACATCGATATCACAAACTTCAGCAGCAGCTGGAATGATGGCCTGGCCTTCTGCGCTTTGCTTCACACCTACCTGCCTGCACACATCCCCTACCAAGAGCTCACCAGCCAGGAGAAGGCAAGTAGAGCATCCAGGAAAGCCCCAACCTTTAAGCCATCATGACTTTATCATTTCCGTAGTTAAACTCAGATTTCCACTGAGTGTGACTGTGATTCTCTTCTTTTTTCAGAGGAGAAACTTCACCTTAGCTTTCCAGGCTGCAGAGAGTGTGGGCATCAAATGCACTTTGGTAAGCTTTATACCAATATGAAATGACTATTAAAATAAATATTAGCAAAACCAAAATAATGGAAAAACTGTACTTCAAGTGTAAAGAATGTATACAGAATAAATCCAGACAACTTTGGGTCAGATTTGAAATGCCTTTATTTAGACATTATGTATATTTAGAGGAATGTGTACATGTTTTTTTTTCTTTCTTTGCTCTTTTTGGAAGCTGTTCTGTTCCCCATTCTTCTCTGACACGCCCCTTTAACCCATAATGTATATACTACTAACATTGCTCATTCTAATTATTAACCAGAGAGGAACGACAGCATGACTTGCAGTTGTGCAGTGTGTCATTTATAGTTCTGCTTTTAACCTCATAAACCTCAAACAACTGCTGGCTGTGTCAGTCACTACAAACCAAAGCTGTGCAGCTAGACATTGTTTAAACTCACAGAACTTCATCTGAAAATCTTGTCGAGATCCTATAGTTTCCAAAGACACCAAATTTGGGGATAAGTGTGAATAAAGGGTTCTCAAAAAATTGACAGCCCTATGTAAGCGATCTATAGCACATGGTCAAAAGTGCATGGCTGAAGTGCAGTTAGGGTGTGTCCAACTCCTCTCTTGTTAGTTTAATAGGGCATATTCTGGGCACAAAGTGAGTTGCAAGGGGCAGAGGGGTTGCATTTAGTATCTTACTTAATCATAGGTGTGTTTTGGCATTTTGAATTCAACCAATCAGAGTGTCATTTCCCATTCCCTTTAAAAGCAAGGTGCAAATGCTCTGCACTGGGTGTACAACAGGGCCCTGAGAATATTTCCAGTTGATGGAGTCTCTCAGCAGCTTAGCTTAGCTTAGCTTAGCTTAGCTTAGCTTAGCTTAGCATAAAGACTGGAAACAGCTATCTTGACTCTGTCCAAAGTTAAAAAATTTGCTTGCATAGCAGCAGTACTAGCACTGTGACCCTCAGGAATCCCTGCTGGTTGCCTGGCAACTTCACGGTAAAACCAGGTGTCCAGGACATCACTGCCTTCGGCTAAGAAATAGTCCAGCAGGGCACATAAATTCGGCCTGTAATTGTTTGACAAAAAATTACTAAAGTTACCCTTAATAAATTTCTTCTGAACCCAACCTGAGTCCTTTATCAGTGGATGGGGTTCGCTCAAGGAATTAAGGAGATGGTTTCATTGTTTACTCAAACACTCACCAAATAAATTATGAATGATCTTGTTTTATAAGAAATGGTAAATTGCATTATTAAGTCATCTTTATCTAGAATATGTGAGCAGTATCTCTTCTCCTTACCTGTCATTTTCTCTTTCACAGGACATAAATGAGATGGTGCACACAGAGAGGCCGGACTGGCAAAGTGTCATGACTTATGTCACAGCCATATACAAGTACTTTGAGACCTGACTTCACCATCTCAGCCACCCTGCTCCTGCAGCACAGTCAGAGCTACACCAGCCCTCCTGAGCTCTCAGCAATCTCCCAACCCCACAGGCAACTGTTATACCTCACAGACACCCTCCCCCTCACCACAGCAACACTGCGTCACGCTGCATGTTGGTCATCACTATTCAGCAACACTAAAGGCAGACCAGAACCTCACTGGACTCACACACAGCTACTCCATCCTTCCAGTGCAGCTTAGAAGGGGCTTTGTGTACAGCTGTAGTTCAAGGGCTTGCCTGTATGTCCACTGTTGAACTGATGAGCCATGAGACGTAACTTTGATGTGAACCAAGTATGAACTGACCAGCGATGAAATCCGATAGATAATATTTGCTTCCAATTCATGTCTGAAGGAGCAGCATGAAAAAGAAACCAAGTCTCAGTGCCTTCTACCTGGCGGTTTTTTTTTTTGGTTGTTTTTTTTTTTTTGGCAAATAATATATCTTCACAGATCACCCAGGCTCCAGGGTGTTAAGGGAATTCCTGCAAATCTGACTGTGTTTTTTCTTTTGTTGGTTATGAATATTTTGTGGAAGCATCTGCAGAACAACAAACCAAAAGTCAGTAATGTTGGAATTCCCCCGCAACCCTGATAATTCCCTCTGAAAGGAATTCAGACAGACACAGCCTTTTTGCACCAAGTCTTCCAGACGTTACAGTTTGATCCAGGTGCCTCTCTTTCCATGGATAAAGTGCCTGTGTGAGTTTTGATGCAGGAGACCAGGACATGAGCTCTCAAAATGGGCCAATCCTCCACAGAGGCAGTGTCTTTTCACTACAGTTTGTGAAGCTGAAGATTTGAGGAGTTGTTGCCAAATATGTTCCAGAGCCTTTTGATTGTTGATTTCTGACTTACTGGTCATCAGGACAGAGCAATGCTGCAGATGGCTACTACATTAACATCAGATCATGACTGATTGTTTACTTTTCAAGCACAGAAATATGCTATGTTCTACAACACTACTACACATTTTGTTAAGCTGCACTAACACACTCTTATGATGGTTTTTCACAAAAAGATTTGTAAAGGTGGACTAATATTCTGTTGTGTATGGAGTTTAGCGCTGATGTGTTTGCATTTCATAGGCCTGCATTTGCCATCCTGCACTTCTTTCATTAGGCACATAGAGCACACAGCATCATTTAATCATAACCAAAATACGAGTGAGTAGTATTTAGTCTTTTGATGAATTGTGTTTTGATTGACTTTTAAGTTCTGTTCATATCAGAGAGCCTTAAACTTTATCGGCCCACAGGTCGAAGTAGAAAAATAGTCTCTCAACATGGACTTCATGTTGGGAAAATGTGCCCTAGTGTTTGGAAATTAGCAGAGAGGGATTCATAGACGAGGACACGCTGTAAGGTCAATACAGCATCTCATTGAAGGAAGAGTTTGACTTATTGGAAATACACTTATTCATGAGAAAATTCATACCACTCTAATGCTGTACACTAAATGAAAAGCTGGAACCTGGAGCTGGCTAGCTTAGCTGACTATAAAGCCTTGAAACAAGGGGAAACAACTAGCGGGCTCTGTCCAAAGTTAACAACATCCATCCTAGCAGCACATCCACGTGTAGTCAGACCTTTCCCCACAGCGGTGTGAGCACTAGAGAAAGGTCTGTATGCACCCATTATCATTCTGCTATAGGGCAGAAATGCTCTGGGTTGTTTTTATTTCTCTGAACCAATCGCATTTGTGTAGGGTGGCATTGAGGCCACAATGCAGCGATGGTGCCCTCGCAAAATCTAATCACTTATAGTGGAAGGGGAGGAGAACACTGGCTGAGATGATCGGCAAACGGCCAGCTTTACAGTACAAATTAAACAAACGAGATACAACATGTTAAGTAGTGAGCTTCAGAGGTGCTGCTGGGCAGATTACCTTTGGACAGAGCCAGGCTTGCTGTTTCACCTGTATCCAGTCTTAATGCTAAGCTAAGATCAGCTGCTGGTTCTAGCTTCAGATTCAGCGTACGTAGATGAGAGGGGTATTGTTTTCTTCTTATCTTCTGAGAATCAGCAGGAAGTCAAACTAGTGTATTTCCCCAAATATCAAACTCTTTCTTTAATATCAGCAAATATTGTGTAACCTTTTTGTTTATTCACACAAAATATTCACACGTGATCGGACAATTCATAGTGCCATTGACTATTGTGTGTGTAAATACTGATGCTGTGTTAGACAGGTAGTTTTTTCAAATTCCTAGTATGACTAACTGTTACTATAGAGCTACTTTGTAGCACATAATGTCATTTAATTTGTTGGATTTCAGTCAGCAACATTAATGTTGTGTGTAACATTTTAAATAGTCCTCATATTTAGTATTTACAAGCAGTATACAAACATTTAATTAATGGTTTATAACACACTGTAATGTAGTTGTAAGCAAAAATTTTAAAGTTTATTAATGTGCAGTATTTGCAAGCAATAATGACTTCTCCTGACAAGACTTATTTTATATGAATACAACTGTATTTCCACTTATGGGTAACAACAGGTGGAGTTTCAATTGTGGACAAATAGATTAATAAACACTTACTGGTAAATCTGCTTACAACTACATTGTAGTTAATTATAAATAAGCTATTAAATGTTTATATATAGAGCTTAAAGTGTTACTGTGCAATGCTGTCTGACTGTGTGTTTATCGTGCCTCAACATATCAAGTTCACTGTATTTATTTGCATGGTTTCCAATCATTTTAGTGAGGTCATTGCTTCATTGGTGTGTCTGAAGTGTATATGAATTTATTACACATACAGTAAGTAGCTGCACTGAGATAAGCTTTTTTGTATTTCGCACTAATTTGCTGCCTTAACAGTTCAGCCGAGGCTTTTGCAAGTGAAACTGTGACATTTCAAACTGCAGTTATCTTTGCTCACTAGACGTGTGTTGCAGTGTGGAAATAATTTCTAAAACAAGGTCCTTCTTGTTTGTGCCTCCTGAGGAACACTAATAGTGAGTGATGGCCATAAACCATGTCTGGTGAAGGTGACTACACACTGTTATGATTTGGACCAGACGAAGCTGCCAGCTGGTATCAATAGCAACATCAGAAACATTTTTGTCTCGATTTAGAAGCACATCCTGCCGTGCCGTTTGCCAAGCCACATCACCACTATGTGTACAGCTGCATTAAACACTCAGCAATTTAAAGTCAGCACAAAAGCCTGCTACAATGACAGTTTTATTTGTGTGTGCGTGTGAGAGTGAGGTATTTAATGACATTTGAAAGCACTGGCTCTCTGTTGTGAGGTTTGTGATGCCATGATGCTGAGGATTATCAGCCAACACTTTTATTGTGTTCTGTTGTGTTCCACCACCGGTCCCGTGTTTTATTGCTCCCGACAGGAACGTCTGAGAGCTACAGAAAGATTCAAAGCTTCTCCATCCTGGAAGTGGAATGTGTTTTTGATCACGCTTTAGTGATCCTGGGACTTTACGAGGTCCAGCGTGTGCTGATGTAGAGTGATTGATGAACATGAGGAGAGAGAAGACGGCTGGCAAAGGCTAGGAAGCACATTCCACCTTCACATGATGCTACGAGGGACATGTTAAACTGTTGGGACCTGAGATGATGCCCTTTGAGTGTGTAGCTTTACCACAATGAGCAAAGCAAATGTGAACTGTGCATTATGTCTTTATTGGGTCCACGTCATCACACTATTTTCTTTGTTTACTTGAAAATGCTCTGAGAATTCCACTGAACCTGCTTTAGTTTGTCTTTTTGTTTCCATGTTGCCTTTTTGTTTTTACAATCCATGCCACATTTTGTTTTTGGTGTGGAATATTTTTTTCCTGATCACACTACACGCAGTGCTGAAATGGTCCCTCTGTAAAGTTAAAGATGAATGAGTAATTCTGTGTGTCTGTGTGTCTGTGTGTGTGTAAAGGGACTAAGCTACAGTATTAAGTGCACACTACGATGATAATCAGTTGTAAAGAAAAATGCTGTCTGGTTTTATGTTGCTTTATTTTTTTCTGGCTATAAAATAAATGAATAGTTATAAAAGACCAATGAAACAGCTGTGTTTGTTGTCATCATTGTCATAGCATGTGGTTTGAACTCAGAAATAGCCAACAATTTACATTTTCAGTTGGCTCACAGTAGGGGAGATGGGGGTTGATTGGCTCACAGCTATTTTCTGCTCCTTTGAAGGTCACAGAAACAAAAATGTCACATAAGAATATTTGCTTTCTTCATCAGTGTTTATTTACTATGTTTTATTATCTGAAAATAAATTACCATTTTGGTGAGGGTGACATTTTGTTTTTTTAGAACTGAAAGATAAAAAGGTGCTCTGTGAAATGAATGTATTATAAAACTGTTAGATAAAGATATTGGAAAAGTGTTACCTCTGGTTAGGAATCATCTACATTTTGATAAAAAATTTCAAAGTATGTAATGAGTAATTGTAGCTAGCTAACATCCAGTGGCATGCAAAAGTGTGGGCCCCCTTGGTGAAAATGTCTTTTACTGTGAATAGTTAAGTAAGTAGAAGATGAAACATGCTTTTAAACATTTTAATCATGATTAGGATATTACTGTTATTATCATCATTATTGTGTATATATATATTTATATATAATGTGTGTGTGTGTGTGTATAATTTTTTTTTTTTTTTTTTTACAATTTGTGAATGAAAAAAAGAAAAAGAGCACCAATCAAATGTTTGGGCACCCCAAGAGCTCTCAGACAACTTTTAACAGGGTCTCAGACCAGAATTATTTTGTTAGGGCTATGTATTTGTTCACAGTCATCGTTAGGAAAGACCAGGTGATGAAAATTTCAAAGCTTTATAAATATTCTGACTCCTGAAACCTTGTCCCAACAATCAGCAGCCATGGGCTCCTCTAAACAGCTGCCTAGCACTCTGAGAACTAAAATAACTGATGCCCACAAAGCAGGAGAAGACTATAAGAAGATAGCAAAGTGTTTATAGGTAGCTGTATCCTCAGATTGTAATGTAATTAAGAAATGGCAGTTAACAGGAACTGTGGAGGTCAAGTTGAGGTCTGGAAGACCAAGAAAACTTTTCAAGAGAGCTGCTCGTAGGATTGATAGAAAGGCTAATCAAAGCCCCTGTTTGACTGCAAAAGACCTGCAGGAAGATTTATCAGACTGGAGTGGTGGTGCACTGTTCTATTGTGCAGCAACACCTGTGCAAATATGACCTTCATGGAAGAGTCACAAGTTTGCAAAGGAACATCTAAACAAGCCTGATGCTTTTTAGAAACAAGTCCTGTGGATTGATGAAGTTAAAATAGAACTTTTTGGACAAAATGAGCAAAAGTATGTTTGGAGAAAAAGGGTGCAGAATTTCATGAAAAGCCCAGCTGTTAAACATGGGGGTGGATCGACATCACAATGTCCCTAAAAAAGCTGAAGATGAAGAGAGGATGGCTTCTACAAAAGGACAATGATCCTACACACACACCTCAAAATCCACAATAGACTACCTCAAGAGGAGCAAGCTGAAGGTTTTGCCAGGGCCCTCACAGTCCCCCGATCTAAACATCATCATCTTTTACTTGCTATTAACGGTTAATGGAATTTTGACCAGGATTGCCCAAACTTTTGCGTGCAAATGAAGCTCAGCATAAGTTCAATCAGGAAGACTTTTGTGCTCATCCATTCACAATTCTCTCCATCCCTCTCCCACTGCTTCCTCTAATCAGCTGACTATGGGTGTTCACTTTTCCAGTTATCCAATCAAACTTTACAGTCAAACACGATCTCTATCATCCAATCAGGATGCTACTGAAAAATTTTAAATCTTCTCTCTCCTCTGCTGCTGTCAGCCGTCATTTTAGTCAGAAACGTTGCACCCTCCTCCACCCCGTTCACCTCTAGCCATCGTATCTAGAGTCCAGGACAAGCTCAACAAAGGGTCCTTACTCTACTAATCCAGTTCATCAGCACTTCTCCATCATCCTCTCATTGCATCTTCACCACGTCTACCACCACAATCAGTGTCTAGACCCCTAATCGCCAAATTCTTTTTCAAAAATTTTTCATTCTCATGTGCACATATTGATAAATATTCTTTTACTATAAATTGAACTGTAATTTCATCACAAATTTTGGTCAAATGTGAGCAGGATTGGTTGGCACACTAATTTTTTGGTTGGTTGGCACATATGCCAGATTAAAATCAATGATTATCAATGATTATACTGTTTATTTTTATTATTAATTTGAATAGTTAATGGCAAAAGTAAGTAGACATTCATGTTGATTAATTGCTTAAAATTTGGTTTTAAAAAAAGGCAGATATTCAATTAAATGTTTGTGTTTCCGGTTCTTGTTTGAATTATATTCAAACAAATTCAAATTGTTTCTCTTGGTAGCTTCATTTATTTGTAACATACCCCTGATAGGGCAGGGTGGCACAAATGCACAACATTACTTTAATCACAAATCACCTAATTTTATAAAGCATTTCAGTACATTAAAACATATCATTTATGACTGAGACGTTAACCTTTCATTGGCTGCTGCTTGGAATATTCCAAATCAGTCCAAAGAAATACAGCAGAGTTAAAAGTGTGCCAATACACCCCTGTCTCCCCTAATTATCAAAGGTGCATTTCAATTAAACGGTAGCCTAATTAGTGTTTGACATGGCTTTGACTCTGAGTTATAATTGTATATTTGCCCGCCAATGTAAGATATATCTAAATAAACATGATTATCTGCCTCGTGTCTCAGGTTTCAACACGGATACATGAAGTTTACTGTGTGTCACCAACACACTCATCTGTGTACACAACAGGCGTTTAACTGATCCGCCCACGGAGATGAGACACAGACACAATCAGGATGAATATGTTTTACTGGGGAGGAGTGTGTGTGTGTGTGTGTGTGTGTGAGAGAGAGAGAGAGAGAGAGAGAGAGAGGGAGAGAGAGAGGGGGGAGGGAGAGAGAGAGAGAGAGAGAGAGAGAGAGAGAGAGAGAGATGGTGGTGAGGAAAAGAGCTGGTCTCATCTGTCTGAAGTCATTTACCGAAGTAGGGCAGTTACTTTTCCTATAATGCGATCAGGAGACACTGATCAGACTATCAGTGTGTTTTTATTCCCCGGACTTACACACAATGGTGAAGTGAACTCAGGCGGGTTTCTCCTTGCAGAAGTGTCACACTTGTCTCTCAGCGGGAAGTGAAAACGATCATTTGCAGGCTACAATTAAGTCGAGCGTGTTTTTATCACCTCAGATCATAAAGTGTTATCATCGTTGGGATCTGCTTTCTGCCTTGTGGACATCAAGAAGAGAAAAGGTGAGTTATTTTAATTAACAAAAAGTTTGTTTAATTTTTTTAAAAAAAAATCCACAGCCTCTTTTAATGTGTTTTAAAATTTTTTTACATGCGATCTTATGTTAAATGGTGCAATAGGAGCTGTGTGTGAAGCATCAGAGAGGATGTGGTAAATGTGTAAAGAGTAGGGAATCTTATATAAAGCCGTCCTACATTTTACCTGTGAGAACAAAACCAAGCAGGACTTGACTAGTGTTGAACATCCTCTAACATGGCCAGATCAAGTTGTTTAGGGGCCTTGGGCCAAAATGTTGCAATGGACCCCTCCTGGACACTACATATAGGGCCTAATGGACATAATAGAATTCAAAAAACTGGATATTGAGATAGAGCCCTTCCATAAACCAAGGACTCAAGATCAAGTAATAATGGAACAATAATGCAGCAATGATTATATTATACTAGAGTAATGCAGTTTGTCCAAAAATTTCACATAAAAATAGCAAAAATCAACTGTCACAAAATTAACCCGGGGCATCTGGGCACCCTGGCAGAGTCCTGCATCGGGTCAGAGAGTAACAGGCACCCTATTATTAGAGATGTGCTGCTCAATATTATGACAATAAGCAAAAAAAAAAATATTTAAATTGCATTTCCTGATTTACTTTCATTTTAAAATATAATATCTTATTTTCACATGTATGAAATGTCCCAACACAATCACGTTAGACGTGCTGCCTAACCAGTTTGAACAAAACATGGTAATTATTGGATTCGTGGTTTCAGGTCGGGTCGCAGAACTTAATGGTCATATGTGCAGTGGTGTGATGTAACAAAATAAATTATACTTTGTTACGGTACTTAAGTATCTTTTAGGAGTATCTGTACTTGACCTGAGTTTCTATATTTCTGTTAACTTTCACTTTTACTCCACTACATTTCCTAAATAAAATGTACTTTTAGTCCAATACATTTCCCCTAAACATCTTTGTTACTTATTAAAAAAGAGGGAAGGAAGGAGGAATGGACAGAGGGATGAATGAAGGAATGGGAGGGAGGGAAAAACTGGATTTTGTTCTTTAAATCCTTTAAGATGTGAGGACCTCATTTTTTTCCTCAAGTGAAATGTACGCTCAATTTTTAAAGACATGTTAAGAGGAAATAAACCTCATGTGTGTCAGAATTCTGACAACTAGCTTTTTGTTAACATCATTTACTTTCAATACTTAAGTACATTTAATGTCATAAAATTACTTTTGATACTTTAGTAAATAAATAGGTAAATATCAGATACTTTAAGACTTTTACTCAAGCAACTAATATGTGACTTTAATTTATAGTATGGCTCTCAGGTTCTTCCTCTACCATTACATATGTTCTGGTAGTGGGGCAGATGTGGTATTGCACGTCGTAGTTCAAGTTCAGGAGCAGGTCTTGAAAATCAGACCCATGCAGGACTCTGCCGCCTGGAGCCTGGGGCAGTTGCCCACTTTGCCCAGTTAGTTACAGGCATGTCTTAAAATCTTCAAAATGTTCATGTCAGATTTAGGCAGGTTTGAATCAACAACATCTAAAGTACGCCCAGGTCAAGGCAAAAAATGTATTAAATGTAGAGAAGGTGACAGTTGCTCTCTGGTTGTGTGGTCACTCATGGACGCTGCAGCAAGGCAGAGAATTGTTGCTAGAGGATATTCAGTCTGTTCTTTCTGCCAGCAGCCATGTCACACTCAGAGCGCCCATCAGCACCGTTAAGAAATAGCACCTGCTACCAGGAAGCTGAGAGGTCTGATGTTTGTTCCTCCTGTGCTTCCTCTGCAGGGCGAGAGGAGTATGATGAGGTGATTTGTTTTCTTGGTGATGCTGTTGCAGAGTTTAGGGCAAATTCACATCAAGAAAATTGTATTTAATACTAAATTCACTCAACAATTGGACAAAACATTTTATTCATGTCTGACTACAAAGATACTTTACTATTTAAATTTCTGAGCAGAATTGCTGCCCTAAAGATGTAAATGTAAACTAAAGCCTGTCCTTAAGAAACACCTCAGTGTCCTTTGTTTTATTATAAATCCCTGGAGTTTCTCTTCTGATGTGTTTCATAATTCCATCTCAGGACGTCTTGTTATTGTAGGATGCATTGCTAGCTTGGGAGAGTCACTGCGGTAGTTTTCAGAGATTCATTATTTCCTTTGCTGTCCTCTGGGATTTTTGTTTTGGACGAAAAGCTGCTGCATAAAACATTATAATGGACTGGAATATAACACCATGTTTCTCTGACATCAAGACAAATGAATGCCCAGGGCTCAGAGGAAAGAGACCAACAAAAACTTTATTTGTAAGTCAACTAGAATGAAGCTACTGATAACTATCAACCTTGAAATAACATGTCTTTGGTATTAATAAAAAGCTCTTATCCAACCCAAAGGGAAAACCCTGGCTCACAGAGCAAAGACCTCTATGTTCCAGCACAGCTGTTATCGCCAAAAACCCGACGTAACCTTAAGAAACATCCCCTCGGAGGGAATACAGCACCACTAAAACAGCAGATTTCTGTTTGCTAAGCCTTTTATGGCCGATGACTCACAGATATCACACAATCTTGTGATTCACTAACTGACAATAGATCATGGGCCACATTTATCAAACTTCCAAGAATTACGATTAAAAATGCCTTAAAGGTGAACAGTAGCATGGGAGTTAAGGGGACTCGCTGACAAGAAGCTGTGAGACTGAATCAAAACACAAAAGTTAAGGGCCGTAGAACCAAAACAATGAGCTGAGAGACGACACAATGCTGCGGTAGAAACATCAGTCAAGTATATTTGAGGGAGGCCTCTCACATTACACGTAGTCATCTGATTTATTGTTAATATAAAAAATATTGATAATAGCAGCTTTAAAGCCTCAGAACACTTTGTTTCACATTTAAAGTATTTCGCTAATATGTTAAATACTCTAGCCTTGTAAGACCATCCTGATGACGTGAGCTCAACATCCTGTTTCATTCTCTGTATCAGTCTGAATGGTGGCTCCCAAAGCAACAAGCGCTAACTCTTACTTGCACTTTTTAGCCATTATTCAACTGGATTTGACAAAAGCTTGATTTATCAACTTGCTCCATTGGTGATAAAGATGTTACTGTTTTATTACGCTGATTGACTGAGGAGTTTGTCAAGGCGAGAGCTATCGCCCACTGATAGTGTTTGGGGCGGCACCTCCAGTCAAGACTGATACAGAGAACTAAACAGACTGTTTAGCCCATGTCATCAGGATGGTCTTACCAGGCTATAAATATTCATCAATAAATAAGACAGCTGTGTTCCAGACTCCTCAGCTCTGATTGGTTGTTTTCCTTCAGCCTCGGGGGATTCGAGCAAATGTCAGTGGGGGCAGTAGGAGGAGGCAGAGGAACATGTGTTGTTAAATCCTTATTAGTGAAAAGATACGTCACATCACCTTTCTCCAACTAAGCTATGCCCACTTCAAACAAGTGAACAGCTCAGATAAAAAAACACAAATACAGAAATCTGTCGTGAGGGAACCAAAACAACGCTAACAGGAAACTGTGGGCTCATGTAAGACACTGCCACTCACAGGAAGAGGGTGACTGAGAAAATAGGTTTTCAGGACCACGAGTAGAAGTAAAAATGACAGAATTTTAGTTTTATCTTTCACATAAATTAAGATTTAAACTTTTAGCAGTTTAATAATACAGGTCCAGGTTGTAATAAATAATTAAAGTGTCACCCAGTTTTTTCACTACAGTCTCAGCCTGATGCTCCAAGAAGTATCCTCCATGTCTCTTGCACATGATCTTTACTGTCTGCAGCAAAACACTGGAAGCCCTGCTACGTGTGCATTTGACTCTGACAGAGTTGCTCTCCCACTGCTCTTCTGCAGGGTCAAGAGGGGCTGTTTACAGACGACATCAGCAACCTAATGTCCCGCAAAACCAAACACTGACATGACCCCTTTGCAGGCCTACACAAGTTTATTAACAATTTCAGTTTTTTGAGTCAGCTGATGCTTTTTGGGATATCTTTGAATTTAAATGCCCAAATATTTCCTCCAGAGGTTGTACTGTGAATTCTAGGAGACATTCATGCCTAAAAATTAAGAATTTATTTGATAAAAAAAAGGAAGAAAAAGACTGAAATTTAGAAAAAAATACATGATATACACGAGGTTTCTTACAGTTTTATGTGAGGAAGTACTGACTTTTTAGGAACACCACAACATCTTTGACACTCAACACTGATGGCTCGCTCTAAAACATATCTGATGCAAGTGTGTCTGTTGAATTTCACTTCCTTTATTGTAAGAGCATTTCCTCATTTTCACTTCTGCACCTCTTTAGAAACGTAATGTTCCACTGATGTGTGCTGTTGGCATCATCTAAGCCGCACGAGAAGTTCATGGGAAAAGGGCGCTGAGGGGACGGACCTGAGGGGAGAGGACAGCAGAGGAGCTTTTTACCAGGAGAGGATGGAGGCGACTGTGTGTGGCATGAAGAGAGATGACGGCTCTATCTGAAGTTGAATAAACATTTTTTTCAGCTGTTTGGGCTAAGCAGGTGTTAGGGAGTTGCCACAGCTGCTCGGGGAATCCAGTGGATGTGTTGGAGGTGAAGAGGCTGAGCACAGCGGCTGCCAGGCTGCAGCTATGGTTGTTGAGGCAAGGTTTCCTCCTTCCTCATCAGTGACCTCGCCGTTTGTTTCACCATGCCAGAAGACCCCATTGCCTCCTCCTTCTACATCGTCCTGGAACTGCTGATTGCTTTGTTCTCCGTGCTGGGCAATGTACTGGTCTGCTGGGCCGTGTGCCTCAACACAAACCTGCAGAGCATCACCAACTTCTTTGTGGTGTCACTTGCAATTGCTGACATCGCTGTGGGTGTCCTGGCCATTCCCTTCGCCATCGTCATCAGCACTGGATTCTGCTCCAACTTCTATGGGTGCCTGTTCCTTGCCTGCTTCGTGCTGGTTCTGACACAGAGCTCCATCTTCAGCCTGCTGGCCATCGCTATAGACCGCTACATAGCAATCAAGTTACCGCTCAGGTCAGTGACCCAGAGGGGCAGTGGGTACTTCTTATACAGAGACACAGAGAAAAGGTTAGCTTTACAATAGACAGCATTAACAAAGGGTTTATAAGTTGTAGTTAGTGACTCAGTTAATGGTTAATAAATCAATTATTTACACTTTATAGATCTGTTATAAACTGTTAATAAGAATTACTTTTCAGTTTCCAGGTTGAGAAAACTCCCTCAGTCACTTGGACTTAAATTCATTTATTAATAACGTACAATTGCAGACTTGATGGAATAAAAACTCTTTATTAATGACTTATTAATGACATATTGATGCTAACAGCTGCAGTTGTGGTCTGTTAGAAAGGGAGAGCATTTATTAATAGTTTAGAAAAACACATTCGTCAAAGGTTCGGTGTGTAGGATTTAGGGGGATGGGCAGAAATGGAATATAATGTAATAAGTATGTTTTCTTCAGTGTATGATCCCTAAAAAAAGGATAGCTATGTTTTTGTTATCTTGAAATTAATTGTTTATTTTTATATAAGGAGCAGGTCCTCGTCCATGGAGATTGCCATGATGCACTGACATGTTTCTACAGTAGCCCACAATAGACAAACCAAGCACTGACTCTACATAGGGCCATTTGCGTCCTGCATCAGCCATCATAGTTTGCAGTGTCCAAAAAACACTGATTTTTTAAAGTGAAAATGATTTATTTAGTGTTTTTACCACTTTAAATCACCAGGACTAATTGTTCTTGGAGAGGAAGAGACCTCCATGGATAATTTGGCGCTTAGTAAAAACCTACTTAAGTTATCAAAGAAATATGTGAGCACACATTAGCAGGTGCACTAGTGGCCTGTCTTGGATATGCTAAAAAGCTTGGGAGAAACGCTGGTTTGAAAAGTGAAACTGCTATATTTAGTGTATTACTGGTTAAAATCACCTGGTCAGTTTATTTTGGTGAGGACTGAAGGAATTTGAACCAGGAGAAGTTTCACCTGGTTGCAGTCTGGACCTTTAACTTTTAATAAGACTAGTTACAACTTATGAATCCTTTAGCTTCACCCTTTATAGCTCTTAAGCATGATACAATAAGAAAAAGAAAAAATTAAATATTCTTAAACAGAAAAAGACATATTCTAAGCATTCATTTTAATTAATTGACTTCATATTTTACTGCTTGCTTTATGCACACACACACACACACACACACACACACACATATATACAGTACAGGCCAAAAGTTTGGACACACCTTCTCATTCAATGCGTTTTCTTTATTTTCATGACTATTTACATTGTAGATTCTCACTGAAGGCATCAAAACTATGAATGAACACATGTGGAGTTATGTACTTAACAAAAAAAGGTGAAATAACTGAAAACATGTTTTATATTCTAGTTTCTTCAAAATAGCCACCCTTTGCTCTGATTACTGCTTTGCACACTCTTGGCATTCTCTCCATGAGCTTCAAGAGGTAGTCACCTGAAATGGTTTCCACTTCACAGGTGTGCCTTATCAGGGTTAATTAGTGGAATTTCTTGCTTTATCAATGGGGTTGGGACCATCAGTTGTGTTGTGCAGAAGTCAGGTTAATACACAGCCGACAGCCCTATTGGACAACTGTTAAAATTCATATTATGGCAAGAACCAATCAGCTAACTAAAGAAAAACGAGTGGCCATCATTACTTTAAGAAATGAAGGTCAGTCAGTCCGGAAAATTGCAAAAACTTTAAATGTGTCCCCAAGTGGAGTCGCAAAAACCATCAAGCGCTACAACGAAACTGGCACACATGAGGACCGACCCAGGAAAGGAAGACCAAGAGTCACCTCTGCTTCTGAGGATAAGTTCATCCGAGTCACCAGCCTCAGAAATCGCAAGTTAACAGCAGCTCAGATCAGAGACCAGATGAATGCCACACAGAGTTCTAGCAGCAGACCCATCTCTAGAACAACTGTTAAGAGGAGACTGCGCCAATCAGGCCTTCATGGTCAAATAGCTGCTAGGAAACCACTGCTAAGGAGAGGCAACAAGCAGAAGAGATTTGTTTGGGCCAAGAAACACAAGGAATGGACATTAGACCAGTGGAAATCTGTGCTTTGGTCTGATGAGTCCAAATTTGAGATCTTTGGTTCCAACCGCCGTGTCTTTGTGAGACGCAGAAAAGGTGAACGGATGGATTCCACATGCCTGGTTCCCACTGTGAAGCATGGAGGAGGAGGTGTGATGGTGTGGGGGTGTTTTGCTGGTGACACTGTTGGGGATTTATTCAAAATTGAAGGCACACTGAACCAGCATGGCTACCACAGCATCCTGCAGCGACATGCCATCCCATCCGGTTTGCGTTTAGTTGGACGATCATTTATTTTTCAACAGGACAATGACCCCAAACACACCTCCAGGCTGTGTAAGGGCTATTTGACCAAGAAGGAGAGTGATGGAGTGCTGCGGCAGATGACCTGGCCTCCACAGTCACCGGACCTGAACCCAATCGAGATGGTTTGGGGTGAGCTGGACCGCAGAGTGAAGGCAAAGGGGCCAACAAGTGCTAAACACCTCTGGGAACTCCTTCAAGACTGTTGGAAAACCATTTCAGGTGACTACCTCTTGAAGCTCATGGAGAGAATGCCAAGAGTGTGCAAAGCAGTAATCAGAGCAAAGGGTGGCTATTTTGAAGAAACTAGAATATAAAACATGTTTTCAGTTATTTCACCTTTTTTTGTTAAGTACATAACTCCACGTGTTCATTCATAGTTTTGATGCCTTCAGTGAGAATCTACAATGTAAATAGTCATGAAAATAAAGAAAACACATTGAATGAGAAGGTGTGTCCAAACTTTTGGCCTGTACTGTATATATATATATATATATATATATATATGTATCCTAGTCTATGTAAAGTGACTTTGAGGAATTCGAAAAGCACCATATGACTCCAATGTATCATTATTATGGATTATTGAAATGTGCCATATGTAACCCTTGTTACAAAGCTAAAAGCAGTCCAACCAATGTTTTCTCAGCTCAGTCTAATCTGTTTCATAGTCCCAGGCAGTGGAGATCTCACAATAATACTTCATTTTTAACTATCAGTGAAGACATGACATTTGAACCAGAAAGTCTTGGCTGAAGAAATCTTTCCAGGAATGGTCTCTCTCCCGAGGCTGTGTCCCCCCAGGGCAGTCAAATGAATTGTGCTCTAATTGCTTATACAGACTGTGTGGTCCCCCTGTAACCGCCTGAGAAATCTTATCTTTATTGTTTTACAGTAAAAACACAATACTGTGGCTGTTTATGCTAAGCATCAGCTTAGATTTATTATTCAAATTAGCCAAGAATGATATGTCTCCAGACATTTAACCTGTCACCTTTACAACACTCTGACTAATGGTGATGCTGCAGATCGAGTTGTGACCTCATCACACTGAAAGATTAAACATTAGAGCCACATAGAGCTCAGCCTTCCTGTTATTTAAGACTCAAAGAGTTTTCACACAGCCCCCTTGTCTTGCCAATGATACATGAGGTTTTTTCTTCGTTGTTTTTTGCATCCCTGATGTGGGGAGCGCTTTTGTTTTTGCAGCATTAACCTTTGCACTTTAACATCTCAAGAATGTAATAGAAACAAGCCAAATATCTCAGCTGCTCTCCCACACTGCGCTGCAGGCGAACTCAAAATAGACTCTTCCTTTGAGGAGTCCTGAATGACTTTGTTTATCTTTACTGTTTTAGTTCCGGGATGAAAAGTGCTTCCACAGAGCAATTAGCTGATCATTATAAGTCATGGGGAACTTATACTGTTTCCAAAAGATTATTAATTACTGTGAACATTTTAAGTGTGGCTGTTTGGTCTTTGGGAAACTGACAGATCTGGTGCTTGATGTTTGCATCATCTCCCCCTCCAGGTACAACAGCTTGGTGACAGGCGAGCGGGCACGAGGCATCATCGCCATCTGCTGGGTTTTATCCATCATCATCGGTCTGACCCCCATGATGGGCTGGCAAAAGCTGCCCATGAACAGCGACCCCCTCTGCTCGCCTGGCCTGATGAAGTGCCTGTTTGAGGAGGTGGTGGTCATGGAGTATATGGTCTACTTCAACTTCTTTGCCTGTGTACTGATTCCCCTGCTGATGATGCTGGCCATCTACCTGTGTATCTTCATGGCCGCTCGCCGCCAGCTCAAGCTGATCGAGGTGAAGGCAGTTCATGGAGAGAAGTCGCGCTCCACGTTGCAGAAAGAGGTCCAGGCTGCTAAGTCTCTGGCCATCATTGTCGGGCTGTTTGCAGTCTGCTGGCTGCCTCTACACATTATCAACTGCTTCACCCTCTTCTGTCCTCAGTGTGATCGTCCTCCGGCCTGGATCATGTACGTGGCCATAATTCTTTCCCACGCCAACTCGGTGGTCAATCCCTTCATCTACGCCTACCGCATCAGAGAGTTCAGACAAACCTTCCGTAGGATAATCCGGCGCCACATCCTGGGCCGGCATGAGCTGTTAGAGAGTGGTAGCAGCATGCGCAACTCCACTCACAACAGTTTTTCTGACTCTATCAGACTCAAGGCAAATGGCCTCAGCATTGACCTTTTCCCTGAACACAGCACCAGCAGCAGTAGCTGTGAAAGCTCCTACCGCTGCACCACTAACATCTCTCCTGTGGGGGGCAGTCTGGTGGCAGTATCCCGCCCCCCTCTGTCAGTCATTATTGCCCACTGTCCTAAGATGGGCCCTTGTCCACTGCAAACCCTCAGACAGTCTCATATAGGACATCATCTACAGTATGCGGAGCAGCAGCATGACTGCGCTGGACCAGAAGTGGTGGAGGATAAGGACAAAGAGAACCTCTGCAAGCAGAACACAAAGAGTTGCTTCAGTGAGCTGGCAAAGGTGTGCTGACCCATGCATATTCATTAATAATCAGGAGCCTTGCAGTAACATGTTAACTTGGCAGCAGCTCACGAACGATTGGAATAACACCTGATCCGCAATGGAAATGGGAGCACTGTAAAAAGATAATGGACAACGAATTTCACTGAGATAACTTTAATCTCTTTGCCATGAGAAACTGTTTTCAGGATTTGAATACAGTGACTATTTAAAGAGATGGGTTGGATTTTTTTAACTGGGGTTGTCTGGGGTACTTATCTATAGTCAGCGTATTACTAACAGTAGATGTCAGTCGGTACGCCCCCAGTTTGGAGAAGCAGGCTGGGGTCTGACACGGAAGCTAAACAATGTACTGCTGTGGATGGAGTCAGCAGCAAAACAGCCACGTAAAATAAAGTCCCACCTACAACAAAATTATATATCAGTTAAAGTATGCTATATTAAGAGTATTTTTTACTTCTTAACCTTTCTGTCAGACAGCCAACGGGGGAAAACGTTAAAGGCTTCAGTTCCCTCCCCTCTCATCAAGGCCACCAGACTCCATTGACAAAAACAGTAATTCTAGCTCACTGAACACTGGAGCTTCTGGTCTACTGCTGCTTCAATCAGTCAGTTAGTTTGTTTTATTGTGTAACTTTGCTGAACCTGAACATACCATTTTAAATGTCAAAGTCACACAATAACACAAACAAATGATTGCTTGGGGCAGTGGTAAGCCTGGCTTTGAAGAGAACTGTCTGACAAAGCAGGGAAAATACTCTCAATATAGCATACATTTACAGTGGTTTTGATTTTTTTAGGTGGGACTTTTTAAGGTGGCTAAAATTTGTCTTGTTGCTGACCCCTCCACGGTAGTAGATTATTTAGCCTCCATGTCCGACTCCAGTCTGCTTCTCCAAACTGGGGGTGTGCAGACTGACATCTACTGTTTATAGTATACCGTCCATGGATAAGTACCCCATACAACCCCACTTCAAAAAATCTATGCCTTTAATTTAAACCAGGTTAAAAGTCTAAAAGCACAGTTGGAGGCCCAAAGAGTTTGTGCTGCTTCATAACACCCACATGACCATGAAAATGACTGAATGACTGCCATTTTTATTTTTAAGGTGCAGGCACTTCACACATCACAAATGGCTCTGCGTTCATTTCAACAAACAAGACTAAATGCTTTCGCTTTCTCTTTGTGAATAGTTAAGAGTTCAGAACAAATGTACTTTGAACAGTGAAACTGTGCGACCCACCGAAGCTTAGCCAATATAAAGAGAAGGGACAGTATGGACCCTCACTCTCTTAATACATAAGGAGTGATTCATTGTTGACTTTTCATGATGTCCATCTTTGTTGAACTGCAGGCTGAAATAATACCATAGTGTGTGAGTAAATTTCATCCTGTCATTTCTGATCTGAATGGACCATTGGCTGAAGACTTATTGTAAGACTTATTATTAAATTATTGGTACATATTTAAATTTTCAGGGATGTGGGTATAAATGCACTGTGATGGATTCACCTTATACCACTATCATGGATCATGTGCGGAGGATTGTTTCATATTCAGTCTTGCACCATCATTTGCACCATATTTTGATTCAGTCAATCCATAGGAGCTGCATGGTGCGGACAGCGACACCAATCTGCTTAACAAAGTTCAAGCTCATTTGCAGAACTTTTTTTCTCACATTTGTCCTATTCCTTACTCTCACTTTGTAATCCAGCTTCACTGCATAGGTTTATGTGTCACAACATTAAATGAATGAGTTCTAATTGGACTAAAATATAAAAACAGGACTTTCACCAGTGACAGATTGGTTCATGTTTGTGTCAAAGGCAATATAATGTTTGACATGTTTTAAAGCTATAGGCACTGGAGTTGGTAATGTATTGCTCAAACGTAACTTTGTATTTTTGTTGGCTCTGTGTGACTTGACTTATTTAAGTTATATTAATGTAAATGTTGGCTTCTGGGCTAGTTTGATGAATGATGGGATATAACTGTAAAAGGATAATGAATGATTATATTTTAGACTTAAGTCAAACTCATGGATGAAGTTCTTGTTTTTTATTTTTCCTGATGGATGTCTCCCTAATCCAGCCCAGCTGTTGCCTTCTGTGCTATTATCACAAGTAATACTTACAGGGTTTGAACTCAGCAATGGCCACAATGGCACATTAATTATTCATTCACTGTAGGAGCAGCTCCAAGCTTCACTTTGGTTCCTCACCATTTAGGGTTTGACATCGGATCTGGAGGTCTGCAACTGAGTTAGAGATCTGGTTTGCTCATTCTGGGAAAAGGTTAGTTAAGTAGTCAAACTATCTTTGGAGTTATTTATTTTCCCAGCTTTTATCACAAGTCCCCTGTGAGTTCATGTTGCAGGGTGCAGGGCCCACTTCTTTTTCCATGTTTCCCCACGGGTCTGTAGTGCTTTTTTAAAGATTCACCACAGAAAGCTCCTGGGTGCTCATGCTCTACTGCTGTCCTGTGTGGCAGCATCTTGTCTCCTCAGCTGGGTCATGTCGAGGGTATGATCCAAAACTTTAGGCTATTAAAGCTCTATGGGGCATTTAGTGAGAAAACATATGTATAGTAAATATGGAGCTACAGACAGTTTCCAAACAAGGAAACAGTATGGTTGCTTCTGTTTAAAGGCAAAAAAATTACAAGCACATCTGAAGCTCATGGTTTAAAACAATGAATGATACTGTTTTATGGTGGTTTATGTGCCCACTGGTTAGTACCTTCAGACCAGGCTAGCTATTTCCACCTGTTTTCAGTCTTTATGCTAAACTAAGCTAAGCTAAGCAGTTGCTGGTAGTACTTTTACTACTGTATATTGGTTCAGTCTTACAACTCTCATCAGCTCACATTTACAGGCACTACCTGTACCTGCTCATTATCAAACGGCAAACAGACAAAGTTAAAAAAGAGCTGTTGAAAATAATGGAGCATTAAACAGCAAACAGCACTGTCTCCTACAAGTTATGTTCTAATGTAACCAAAATCAGGATTACCTTAACCAAAGTGCTTTTATTTTCAAAACCTAAGACAGGAGCTCTGGATGAGAATCCAAATTCTGGTGTCAATGTCCTGCTCTTTGTATGCCTGTCACCCTGCCCAACTACCTCCTTGCAAAGCCTTCACTGTACATGAATGTAGATTTTCCTCACCTGAAAGACAGATTGTCGCTGAACATAATCCAAGGTGGGGAAACTCCAGCAACACTTCTTGTTTTTAGAACAACTTTATTGGTCAACATGATTCTGATGATGGCCACAAGCTGGAATGCTTTGGTTTGCAATAAAATTGCTCTAAATAATACAAGTGCTGCTGGATTTTGAATGCCTTTAATTTGTCTTCCTTCTCTGTGCACCTTGGAAGTAGGTGAAGTTGCTCCAGAAACCCTCCAAGTCCAAAATTAACTTTATTTTTTGCTCTGTTTTGGTGTCCACCAGCTCCTTAGAGAAATATCTGGCTCTTTAGGTGCAATCCTATCTCCTAGAAATTACGTTCGCATTTTACTAAACTGCTTTTTTAATTATGATGTTGTGGCAATGTAATTGCTGCCGGGATTACAGTATTGTAGGTTCAACTCTCCAGAGGTATAGAGTAGTGCAGGAATAAGTCCTTAAACCCAGAAATGAGGTAGCATTTTAGCAAAATGTGTAATATAAACTTTTGTTTGCTACAGAGCTTATTTTCAGCAATATTCCAAAATACAATGGAAAAACAATATTGGCTTTATTTTGTCGGAGGAACCAGGGCGATTTTAATTTTTGGTTCCAGTTTGTGGTGGGAAACAACAAAGCCTCTTTTTCAGTCAGCGTTGACATCATTGTCCAGCAGGTAGCTATAAATTATGGCTACCCGCTGGACAATGATGTCAAGAGTTTATATTATTCTGTTTCTTATTAAAGTTTTAGACAAGAAATGTAGTAACAAAACTCTTGTCTTAGGTTTAGACATCAAATACCCTCTGGTTAAGGTGAGGAAAAGTTGTGATTTGGGTTACATTATAATGAGAAATGTAATATCAAAACCTCTTGTCTTGGGTTCAGACATCAAATGCACTTTGAAAACAATAATGCTGTAGTCACTACATGTGGACACTGTATTGCTTGATTGCATTTTTTGGTAAAAAACAAACAAACAAACAAACAAACAAACAAACAAAAAAGTGAAATACACAGCCAGTGAACATTTTGCTGATATGTTCAGTATCAACATTTTTGCAACGTGCCAGATTTTTGTTGTTTTAGGTTAGTTGTATATAAACATGATTTCTAGGAGACAGGGCTGCACAAACATCAACATATTAAACTTCAGTGATCCAAAGGAAAAATGATAAAGAAAAGAAAAATGATCCAAAGGTCCACAAAGCTTCTCACACTTTACAGTTTAAAAGTCCAAGCCTTCATACAGTAGATTTCCATGACTGTGTGACTAAGACCTGACCTACAACATTTGCAAATACGTTGACGCTGCCGGTTGCTTTTACAGCAACTCCTCAGCTCTTAAATTTTCAGGTTGCAACCTTAAAATAAAAACAAAAGCGTCCTCAGTTTCATAAGACATTTTCAGTTTTCAGTTGAGGCTTTAATCTCATTTTCTGAGCGCAGAAACACAGGATGACTTCCAGTGAAGAGATGATAAAAAATATAGGGCTGAAACTACTGATGATTTTCATTAACATTTAATCTGCAGATCATTTTCACGATTAATCAAAAAATAATTTAGTCTATAAAATGTACAAAAAAGAAAATGCAAGCACAAGTTTCCAGAGCCCAAAATGACGTCTTCAAATTTCTTCTTTTGTCCGATCAACAGTCCAAGACCCAAAGACTCTTCATTTGCTATCATAAATGGCAAAAGGCAATTAATTTTCTCTCAAATGACTAATCAATTAATCTTTCTCCTGGGAGCTACAGAGCCTCTTTGAGTGACTGGTGGAAAAATAACATGACCCTCCCTTTACCATAAATTAGCAATTAGATTTTTAAAATGTATCACTCAAAGGCCATGGTATTTTACTCTTCTTGTGCATGTTGTTTAGTCAGTGCAAATGGTTTGTTTTGTCCAAATTTTAAATGAGATGTTGAATAAAGGTATTTTGATGAAATGTCATTATTTTAAGATCAGAATTGTTATGTTTTTGTGCCCGAGGACAGTCAAAAATGTGAAAATCCAACAATAATTTCTGTTTTTAAAGTTTCTGGCTACGATAAATGAATTAATTTTAGAGATTAGAGATTTTTTACACAAAACATGTTTTATTTGGAAAACTGTGGTAAAATAAACACAAAATACAACCATTTAAATTTGTATGGCCCTCCCCTATGCCAAAATAAAAAAAACATTAGTCCTCTTCCCAATCATACATAATGAACAGTCCCTTACAAAAATAAAGTTAACTGAATATATTATATACTCAAAAATGTATATAATGTCCTGTAATACTTCTATCACTGCTACAAACGCTCCCATTGCACATGAAAAGTCACAAACCTCAATCTGTTCCAAACTTTGAGGTGCATTTGTCTTTATTTCTTATTATTTCTATTCAGAGCTTTATCATTACAGGCATATTTATAAAAAAGGCTGCCAGCCTCACCTAACAAACTTCAATATTTAGAATTCTCAGGAAGGAGAAGAAAGAAAAATATTTTAGAGTTTTGGAGCTGAATATCTTGATAAATGCTACATCCATCACATTACTGAGATCTACATTTGCCATATATTGTTTAAAAAATTACCCCTAAATGTTTTTTAGTGAATGATTGTTTACCTTTGATGATGTAAGCTTAATCCATCTAATGGACTTGGGTTTACTGGTGTTTTTCAACAAACATATGTTTTTTTTTAACATACAGTAGGGGAAAATAAGTTTTAAACATATCAAACATTTTATCAAAAACACATTTCCAATGCAGCTATTCACTTAAAATTTAGACCAGGCACTGGCATTAATTCATTGAAACCACTCTAAAAAAGGAATGGCAATGTAGAAAAACAGAAAAAAGGATACTGTAACTAAAAAACCTTCAAGGTGCTCTTTGATGCCGGGGTGATAAATTGTGGCAACAAAAGGAGGTGACCAAGGCAATCTTGAGGTCCAAAGATTAAAAAGCCTTTATTTGAAGTGGCTAATACGTTGTAAAAGATAAAATGCACCTACACGTTGCGGCACACAGCCTTCATCAGGGTGACAAATCTATCATGAGGATACAGGTGAAACCTATATAGGTAATACCAGGAAGTGACGTTGCACGTTGTATGTGAATGTGGAAAGTCTATGAGCAAAACATCACTATGTGATGAGGTCAGACCGAGAATGTGTTGATTTGGTGGTCGAAGGTCAAAGGTCAAGTTAACTGTGACTTCACAAAGCATGTTTTTGGCCATAACTCAAGAATTAATACATAGGGGCGTTGGTGGCTTAGTGGATAGAGCAGACGTCCCATGTACAAGGCTGTTGCCGC